TAAACAGAATCACAAAGATGTCTTGGTGGTGGTTGATTCAGAAGACTATCCTGCATTGCTAGAATATCTTAAGGGAGACAAGGTTGATCAACAATTCCGAAGGAAGCTTGCATGGAAGGCTTTCCAGCATGTTGCTTCTTATGATTCTGCAGTTTCAGAATGGCTGTGGAAGCAGACTACAGAAGGTACTTCTTTGATTTGCTTGTTTTTATTTATAAACTAGCCTTTGTAAGGCTAGTTTTATGGGTGAATTATACAGTCTAACTTTGCTTATATTTTATAAATTTGCATATTAAATTATTAAGTACACACTACAATCAAAATTGACATGTCAAATCATCAGGTATATTGCAATATCTTGAGTCAACTATTCGATATTCATAAAACAGAACTATGAGTTAGTGGAAATGACCTTGAAGAGAGAAGAGGGGGATTCATCTAATAGATTCCAGTACTCTTGATGTTCATAATATAGTACAAGGGGCTTGTGCGGTGAGGGGGAGAGAGCAGGAGAGAGGGGGAGATAGTAATGTCTCTGGAAATGCACTTTTTAGTTCATTTTTATCTTTTTCTGTCATGATGGGCCACATAGATTGACAGCCTTCTTTATTTGTTTGAAGACAAATTCCCTCCGAGCTTAACGGTGCCTATACTGCTCAAAAGTCCCCTTCGTTATGGTGAAAATCCTCATCAAAAGGCTGCATTTTATGTTGACAAGAGTCTTTCTGAGGTCAATGCTGGTGGTATTGCAACTGCTATCCAACACCATGGGAAGGTACAAGACATGTTCCTATCTATTGGATTCTACTTAGAATAAATCTTTGATAGGGATGAGCAGCATTGAAACCTTTTACTTTCTGCATGCAGGAGATGTCATATAATAATTATTTAGATGCCGATGCAGCTTGGAATTGTGTGTCAGAGTTTAGGAATCCTACCTGTGTAGTTGTGAAGCATACAAATCCTTGTGGTGTAGCTTCACGTGATGATATACTTGAAGCATACAGGCTTGCTGTCAAAGCAGATCCCGTGAGTGCATTTGGTGGCATTGTAGCATTCAACATAGAGGTTGATGAGGTGAGTTGGAGTTTTCAGGGTCTGACCTGGAATTATACATGAGATGAGATCCAATTTATTATGCACTTCCCTAATCCTTACTATTATTATTTTGTACTTGTTTTGTACTGAAAAAAAAATTGAACAAAATCACTCAATTCTTTACCGCTTAAGCCAAGACTCCAAGGGCTAGCTAAGTCACTTTCTTCTCAATGAAAGTTCTGCATGCGCAAGTGATGGACAAGTTTAACTTGAGCCAACTGATTTAGTCTGAAAAGCTAGCACTGAGAAGTTTAACTTGGTAATATATTTCCCTATTTTGCGGTATTGCTCTGTTTTCCTATTTAGCTCTGGTTTTGCTATGTTTGCAGGCTCTTGCTAAGGAAATCCGAGAGTTTAGAAGCCCGACAGATGGTGAAACTCGGGATGTTCTATGAGATGTGTGGTTGCACCCAAGTACACAAAGAAAGGGCTTGAAATCCTCCGAGGAAAATCAAAGACTCTAAGGATCCTTGAGGCAAACAAAAATGAGAAAGGAAAGCTTTCACTTAGACAGGTTGGCGGTGGGTGGTTAGCACAGGACTCGGATGATTTAACTCCCCAAGATATACAGTTTAAAGTTGTTACTCAGAAGGCTCCACAAGAAAGTGAGCTTGGTGATGCAGAGTTTGCATGGTTGTGCGTCAAGCATGTCAAAAGCAATGCAATTGTAATAGCAAAGGTTGTCTTTCTTTGTGTTTAAACACCCTTAACCCACCCCCCCCAAACCCCACCCCCCCCCCCCTCAATTTTATTATATTTTGGTATGCAGCTTTGATTGAATTGGTTGGTACTTTTAGACAAATATCTGATCCTTAACTTATGGGCAGAATAATTGTATGTTGGGTATGGGAAGTGGGCAGCCAAACCGTCTGGAGAGTTTAAGAATAGCCTTGAAGAAAGCAGGAGACGAGGTCAAGGGTGCAGCTTTGGCCAGTGATGCCTTCTTCCCATTCGGTAATTACTAGCTCTTGCAATAACTTCTGTTTCTATTATTTAACACTGAAAAGCCAGAGGAGTACTATTTGATAATTATTGGAGTCTAGATGAAGTTAAATAGTTTTACTAATCCATAATATAAGGAGTAGTCGAATTCTAAATTTTTTAGTGAGAGGAACTTGTACTAAGCTGGAAAAACATGAAGGAGCCTTTATATTAATCTGATTGATGCTTGTTTTACGAACAGCTTGGAAAGATGCAGTGGAAGAAGCATGTGAGAGCGGAGTTAGTGTTATTGCAGAACCTGGTGGGAGCATCAGAGATGGGGATGCTATAGACTGCTGTAACAAGTATGGAGTTTCACTTCTTTTCACAAATGTGAGGCACTTCAGGCATTGATAACAATTTTCTGCCTTGGTGCTTGTCTTGAGACCTTAGGTCCGAATCTGTTGTTTTCATAGGATTACTGAGTTTCTTTTTGTTCTCTCCTGGAGAAGTTCCTGTAGATGGTTGCTTGGCATCCGGGCAAGTCATAATGAATCTTTTTTTGGGTATAAAATAAGGGCTTAAAAATCAAATTTCACCGAAAATTTCATATTTATTGTGAGATGGAATGGAATTCTCAGTACTTCCAGAATATTTCCTGATCTTTTGGAGATCAGTCTTCACCTTAGTTGAAAAGGGAACTTGGCTATATTTCTAAATCTTGAAATTACTTCAACTATAGCTATGATTTCAACCAGAAGAGTGCTAAATAGTTGATTAGGGTATTAGAATTGATGTAATTTCTGCCTGAATTCAAATTTCAATACAAACAAGTTCCTCAAAATTTGAGCATTTTAAATTTTATGACTTAATCAGCAAGCTAAATCCTAATAATGGTTTAAGAATTTATCCCTAAACTAAATTTTAGAGTTCGAACATGCACCTCTCCCTTTATCTTCTTTTGTATAAAATTTGATGAATTAGAGTTTGCTAAGGATAAAAAATAAAAAATCAAGGCTTAACAATGAAAAATCAACGCTATGCGATCCTTCTCTCCTTAGTGCTGCAGGTTGATCTTCTGATCTTATACCATTCCCATCATGTGCGGTGCCCTCCCTCTCCGAGAGATCAGTGTCAGATTGATAAGATGCCGATCTAGGGGAATTAAGGACGCTTTCGAGGTCGGATTGATTGGACCTGTGCTTTTGGTTGTGAAGCAAATGCAGTGGGGATGAACCCTGGCTTGGCGTATTTTCCCCACTTACAAACCCTGAGGAAGAAGCATCACCTGCTTTCCTCAACTTCTTTCTCTGCTTTGCAGCCTTCTGCCAATTCTTAAGAGCCTTTGCCGTTTGCTCCTCGAAAATTGCTTTCTTCATGTGAGATCCCATCTGCACGTTAAGATACGATACATGCATGCATAAATATGGATAATTAAATATATTATAGAGAAATTAATTTCTCAAAAAAGAAAAACTTAAACAATTTTTTCAGGTGCTTGTAACTAAAATGCTCCTCCAAATTTGGGTGTTATATGAAGGACTGACTGATGACCACTTAGCTATAGTGTTATGAATATTAAAGCATGTGCAAATGTGGGTTAAGTTAGCTGGCCAGGCTAGTGAGCCAACTCTCTTGGTTTAAGTCCCCTTTCCCGTAAATTACATTACTTTAGAGTAGTAGATTATCGCTTGTATAAAAGACGAAATGAATATGAAAGCATGCATGCATATTTCTAAAAGAGGCTTGGGCTGTTTAATTTTGAAATATACTCACTTGTGTAATCAAAGCATAAAGAGGGAAGGTAATGTAACTGCATAGGATCTGTAGGGCTACCCCAAGGAAAACCCTTGTCAGTATCAGAGGCAAATTTTCGTGGAAGCATGATGTGAACCCAAACTCAGTCTGCATATATTATCATAGTATATATAGTTAGTATGCAGTTCAGAGAGTGCACATAATTACCAATATAATAATTTACTTAGTTCCTATGAATAATTCTTAGTTAAGAAAAGGAACAATATTAGCTAGTATTGGTTTAGGGTTAATCACTTACAGATGTCCATAAGAAATACGCCATTTGGAAAGCGTTCTGTGCATGCAGCAGGCAAATCCATTAATTGTTAGAAACCTTATATTATATATAGCATTTCCTATATGTATATATACGTAAGATTTATATGGATGCAGGCACGCATTAGAGCAATGTTGTCTTGCCAAAATAGTGTACTTATGTTGTAAAATTGTGAATCTTAGACCACACGAATGGTTGGTCCGTATTTACAGTTTGATAATATAATGATAATTTATATATAGCATATGATGTTGATGTATATAAACTCTGAGCTCTCACTCACCTGGAATAATGTGAAATGAATTAAGAGGAGAATCCACTCGGGGCGATTAAACCAAAAAAACTGTTGCTTGGCTCTACAACGGGAGCGCCTTTAACAACTGTAGTTCGATCATGCATTTCTTGAGCCATCTCCATGATGATAAGCTCAAGCTTTGTACCCACCAGAAGAAGAATCTGCAGTACAAAAATATTAATGATAGAGGACTTGAAGAAGAAGAAGAAGAATAAGAAGAAGCTAGCACTTACGACGAGTGGCGCCAATGACAACCAAGTGAGCGTGTGCCATTCTGTAAAATAGGAGGTATTTATTTATCAGTACTTACAAGTATTAATGATAGATTGACCACCAAGAATTTAAAACGTGCTTTTTGTGATCTCTGTGTTTCGGAAGAGAGATATAAGAGGGAGAGAGATTTACTGTGAACATTTAGAACCAAAAACACCACGGCAAAAATCCATAGTGGTATACTGCAAAATCAATAAATTAAATTAATAAACAATAGTGCAAGGAAGCTAGAGAGAGAGAGAGAGAGAGAGAGAGAGAGAGAGACCTAATACCCACGACGACCTTGAAGTCATCTTCCATGGATCTCTTAATATACTTATGGAAGTCAAATTTGCTATTTGGAGCAAAATGTGCCTGCATGTTCACAATAAAAAAGTAGTTAGGGTTGGGCCAAAACTACATCACAAATGGTTTTATATATAATTACTCACATTGATAAATCCGTGGCGCATGGTCAAATAGTCCACCTTCGTAACCGAACCAAAGAATTGCCTGAAAAATGCCACCTACAATGTACATGTGTATGGATAATGGAAGAGGTTCTTTAATTATAGCAACTAAGAGCTCTGGTTAATTTCAAATAAAGAAAAACTTACAATCCATCTTATTCCAGGCATTGTAGAAAAGCCTGAGTGGCGCTTCACAAACGAAGTTTGTCGAGTAAACCTGAACCTTGAAGGGTCTGGGAGATGAAATAAGATATATAATTTGCGATTGTTCAATCACATGGACTCATTTGATAGCACTTTGGTTTTTGGTTTTCAGATTTTATTTTCCTTTATAAGAAAGATATAATTAAAATCAGTTCAGAAATTATGGAAAAATGTTAGAAAAATGATAGGGATGGAGAAGGAGATAGAGATGGAGAAAGGTGCATGAAACAAGACTAAAAGAACAACTATTTTAAGTAAAATAATAAAATATTAATTAATACCATTTGTGAATTGATATTCCAAGGACGAGGTCTCTGATTCCCAAGCTTTCCATTTCTTCATCTGGTCAACATAAAAGCCGATTAAACAGCTATATAGATTCCCTTTTCTCAAGTTTGGTTTCTGAGAAACGATGGGAAAATTTTGGATTGTTCAATGAATTTTATAAATTTATTATATATACTGACAAGCCACAAAATTACGAGTAGAAAAGACTCTGTAGATATATTCTAAGATGCAGAAGTATAAATATATTCTAATGCTTCATTATTGGATCCCAAATTCTGGCTAATATATTGTTACACAAAATGCACTTCCTCAATTTCTTGCCATGCTCTACATACATACACGGAATCTAGATAATATGCAAAATAATAATAATAATAATAATAATAATAAATAAATAAATATGATCGAGGGTCTCGTTCATTGTGCCATACAAGCAATTTATATTGCCAGACAGTCTGATAAGAAAACATACATTTCCTTTTTTAAGTTCTAATTTCAAATCCATGTTGTGTTGTGTGTATAAAATAGAGCACAGTCGTATGTGTCGCAGTGTGATGATATACTTACTTTGGCACGCGCGAGTGCCATAGTAAGGACACTATACAGAACATGAAAAACAGCAAGCACAAAGATGAAGATGTGCAATTGGTGCATCCCAGATGGAGATATCAGCGGCACTTTACCCTACACATGTACAAAATATTTATTTATAATAAGAGCATCAAATGCAAAAAATTATATTTGAATTTGATGGTATACGTGACAATTCGACTTATTACATATTTTGACAGTGTGTTTGATATGATAATATTTATTGTTTGATATTCTTTATTTTTCTATCTTTTTTTATTGTTTTATATTTTTATAGGGAAATAAATATTTAGTTTAATTAAATAATCTTCAAACTATTTTTCTTATTTTGTATGTAAGCAATGGTATGGAGGGGCATGCTCACTTCTCTAAGGTCTAATCCACATCTCCAACTATATTTACCGAAGAATTTTTATTTTCCAAAAACTCTCTAGTTAATCAGTATTAACAAGATGAAGAAAAAAAATTCATAATTGAAACTCTAAATGAAAGAAAAATAATTTTATTTGAGAAGAAGAATTCATTTTGCAAACAGTAAGAAAACTGAAAGGAGTTTCTTCAATATCCGAGACTCAATTTGACACCATATTATAATGTGAGCATTCAATTTAATATGCGAGGCCCAAAACCATTTAAAAAATAAATTTTAAATTTTCCGATGTACATTCTGTTGGCGTGACTTGTGAATATTGACTTACTTTCCTTACACACCAAGAATTCCTATTATAATTATAATTGATTTACTTTAATTCTTGATTTCCTATTGTAAATAGATTTAGGAATTTATTATTTACTTGTCCATTCAGGTTCGTTGTATTATAAATATGACATTTTACAAGGAGAAGAATATATAGAAAATTCCCACAAACAAATATCTCTTATAATTTTCATATTTTAGCACATTCACACCCTCAACATGTCATATCTCCACGGACAATTTGGCATAGCGGCGGAGATGCTCTAAGGTAAGGAGATGGGGGCGGCAAGGATCATTAATTAATTAGTTACGTTCATTTTATTAATTATGTGTATATTATAATATTAATGTTGATTGAATGAATTAATTAAGTACGTACCTCTGAACAAGAAGAGGAGTCTCCTCCACTAGGGGCGGCTAAAACTCGACGCCATATCATGGTTTCAGCAAATTCCAGTAACTTTCGTCGCCTGTCATTATCATCACCATCTCCTCCTCCTCCTCCTTTGTTTTTGTCATCATCCTTGCCATCCCCATCATCTTTATACTTGCTCTCAAGCTCACATGGAAGCATCGTATTTCCGTACTTTTCTGGGATGCATATTTTTGGAAGATATCGTGTGCCCACCGTAAGTAGTAGAGATATGAATCCCAAAAGCATGAGCTCTGCATGCATGGATGTACTATATATATCAAAGGGTCTAGAGAGCCAGGAGAAATTATCATCACAAGAAAGGAAAAAAGAAAAAAAACTAAAATAATTATTTATCAGCATTATGTAAGTAATGATATGAAAATTACACTGACCAGCTTTTATTTTCTCCAAAGCTTCAAGCATAGCTTTCTTATTGCGTTTCTGGAACCACTGTCATTATAAAAGTAAACATTGAAATCTTGCATTATACATGTATATATACGTATTTATTAGGTACATACCTTTCCAAGAGCATGAATTGCTTGTTCTATAATTATAGAAATAAGTATGAAAACTGCACAGGCAATGGCAACAGCCCATGTGGGTGTCTCTTTTAAAGACCTTTCTCCGGCAGCTGCTGGAGCCATGGCTGCCTTAATTACCCTTTAAGCACACTTAATCAAACTAATTAATATGTACTATCTAGCTAATTCTTGAAGAGAATCGAATTAACGTAGGCAGTGAAGATTTTGGTATTTAGGATTCCGGGATTTTTTATTCTTCTCTCCGAGGAGGTATATATGGGGACTTACAGACAACTTTTGTTTAGGTTAGGGAGGGAGAACAAAATCCAAACCCTGTGATGATATATATAGCGCATTGGATTGTTTTAATCTATAAATCAATCACACGCTATAAATTTGTCATATGCATAATGTTTTTTTGTGGCTTGTCCTAAATGGAAGGTTATCCGTCGAGCGGTTGTGGAACAATTAATCCTTCTTATAATTATAATGTTCTTGGTTATTATAAATGTATGGAACAATTTTAAAATCAAGCTGGCCGGCTACTGGAGCCAAAACGAGAATATGCATGTCATGCCTACAAATCCAACAACCTAATAGTATAATCTTTCAATTAATTTATTAATAGTTTTACTTATTTTTGTTTTCCTTCTTTTTTTTTTTTTTTTTTTTTTCAATCATGAAGGAAATTGTTATTAACACTTCAAAATAATTATCGTATACTCTTCCATAAGAAATATTACATCATGACTATCTAATAATAGCTAAGGGGTAATGTTTCAAACAAATCAACATCGTAAGACACATACCATGTCAAATTTCTTAAAGCCATAGACATGGTATACCACGTCGCTTCTCAAGTAATATGCGACATAGATGTTATTAAAAAACGTCTATGTTATTGAAAAGAATGACGTGGGATAATACTTTCTACGTCAGGATAATACTTTCCACGTTACTTTTAAGATATAGGGACATAGAATATTCTTTTGAACTTCGATTTTTCTTCCAGTGGAACTCGAACGATATCGCTTTTGGACAAGAAGTGACATGGATAATCCATGACAGTGAATCACTGCCGTGGTAGGGGGTTTTTAAAGCATGTCGGTGGAGTAAACGTTGCTTTTTCACCTTGAATCACGATGGTTTTCCACGGACGTTGTTTTCAATTTTTGGCATAGTGTTATTAAGGATATGGATGATGGGTGATGGGTTTCTTAGAAGATACCGAAGTGAGGAAGAGTTCTTCATCACTAGAAGACCCATGTTTTGTTGCTTTTCATCTTAGCACATTGCTGCGTTATGCCCTTGCTTACTCATTTTGTTGAGTACTGGTTTGTTTATCAATTCTATGCATGGTTAGAATTGACAAGTAATTATTATTTAAATATGTACACTTTTCTTTTGGTATTTGACCCAGTCTTCTTCCCAAGATTTCCAGTTGTAGTTCTGATTGTGTTTTGTATGGCCTTGCTTAGTCCAACTAGGAATTGTTCAATCTACGTAATTAATTTCATCAGCTTCTTCTTCTAGCATTGTATAAAATTTGCTATGTCCGACTAATTGTCAACGGTTCTTTCAATTATATTGGGATGACGTTAAGTACAAGTGAGCTCCATTTTGAATTTGAATTTTTTTTTTCTTTCTGAAACCAAGAAACTAATTTCGATTTATTATTGTGGCGGTCAAGTATCTCTTTCTTTTTATTTGTTGGATACTTAAGAATCAATATCGCGGAGGTAATTTTGATTTGACAAGCTTGTGATATGTATTTTTTTCAGAGTGCTGCTATTTTCACCCCCTTCCTTATTTTCCCACTCAATTTATCTTCAAAATTTTAAAGATGAATTTACTCCTTTGTAAAATGGCTTCTAAAGACTTAGGGAAAAAACCTCTAACTCACGATATATTATCCAGTCCTATTGAAACCAAGCCCTATATATTTAAGTTGCATTATAGTTATGAATATATTTTCAAGTACAAACTATTCGGCAAGGATATCTCTCAAAACGTTCCTCCAAGTTAAGAGGTGACTGGAAATGAATGTATTTCATTATTGATATAGTCGAGGGATGCTGTACTACTATCGCAAACCATGGAATCGGCCATCTTTAAGTCATTAGTTGGAGCACAAGTTACAAAACTGCTTACTTGATGTTAATTACATTGTTTCAACATGGGGTCAATCTTCTCCACATAAGCATAGTTTCCTAACCTAGCCGCCACTTACCCAACTGTTAGTTAAGTTTTTTTTGTGAAGCACATTCTTCATTGTTTCAATCTAGTTCCCCTCATTGCAATTACAACTTGAAAGAAAATGACAATAATTAAAAGTATAGTAAATTTGGCTTACACCCTTCAAATTCAATTTGTCGTACGTAAAACCCTTCACTTTTTGTTCCTATAAATAATACCCAATTTGTATAAGTAAAAACCCATGACTAGGATCTAACTCAGCAAGTTACCTAATTAAGCATAAAATATGATTTATTGTACTTTTCATATTCCAAAAATACCCCCAACAAAGCCATTATTGCATTTTGTATATTAATGTAGGAATCAATATGGAAATAGTTTTTAATTGGATTGTATATAATGACAGATGTTGAATTTGGAAAGATCTCCAAATGGTTGTAATGGATGTAAGAATTAATTTTGAAACATTTTTAAAAAAATTTAACAATAAATTCAAATTTGGGTAATCGGTTTGTTTAATAAAATGTTTATGTTATTTTCTTTTTATGAATTATACATGACTAATAATCCACTTTATAATTGTTTATGAATAAAACTGTACATACTGATTATGTTGAAAAAATAATGTACCTATTACTTGTTTGTTTTATGAAAAATATAATTTACCTAGTATGAAAAGTGTACATAATTATCTATTCCAATATACCTACATTATACGACATCCAATATACCTACATTAATTTTAATGTACTTACAATTAGGATTTAGGTATTATATGTCATCCAATGTACCTACCATTTGAATAATATACCTACTACGAATAAAGTACCTATTATTTATCTAATTAATGTACCTATTTTTTTCTATAAATAATATAGCCTTTTTTTCTCTGAATAAAGTACCTATTATTTGTTTTATTAAAAGCAATTTTTTTAAATGAACCTATTTTCTCTCTCCAAATAACGTACCTATTTTTCCTCTCCAAATAATGTACCTATACACATTTACAGGTATATTGTAAAATAATTTACATGTGGGTAAATAATGTACCTATATTTAATATAAATTATTGTGTACCTATTTTTAATTATGAAAAATATATGCAATTACAAAGTAACTGACTTTGTTTTTTTTTTTGGTAAATAATATACCTATATTTTATATGTATATTTTATATTATATTTTTCATAGGTACATTATTGGATATGTAATTTACAGATTTTTTTTTGTTTGCAATTTTAGTGGGCGAGATGTGAGAGGGAATGACAACTAAAAGAAATGGGGTGATTGATATGCTATTAATAGGGAGTATATTAATTACAATTATGGCAGTTAATGAAATGCTTGAAATAAAATTATAAATAAAATATGAAGTTTAGTGGCAACGATGTAAAAACATAGAAATACTACGACCTCTTATATCCTACTGGTCATTTAAATTTGAAATTGGGTTTTACCCAAAGATTTATAGAGTGATGGGTATATGTCTAGGAAATAGAAAATGTAGGGGTCTATATTGGACAAGCCCTTAAAAGTACTAGTGCAGAGAAGTGAGCTAGCCCTAGCAATTACAAATCGATACCAAGTGTTGGCAGAGCAATAAACTTTAAATATAATAATTAGAGTTGTCAACTAATTATCTTGCTACAAGAGGGTTGTTTGAGTTCAAAGGAGATCAGGTGTTGATCGAGTTTAAAGTCTTTTTCTCATAAGAAAAGTTTATATTTGAGTTTCGTGTGTTCAGCTTGTTAGATATTTAGTCGTTTGTTTTTCAATAAACTCCTATTTGTTAGGAAGTCTGTTGTGTTTACCTATTCCTTAAGAGAATCCCAGATTATTAGGAGTTGTTAGTCGTGGGATTAGAGGTTGCTTTATTTTCTAGCTTTCAGTTATTTGCATTTGTATTTCATTAGATTTTAAGTCAATGAATCAGCATCGCATTCCTTTTACTCATTCTGCAGCAAACTCAGTTTTTAGTTTCACAACAATTTGGTATCAGAGCTCCCCACTGGGGTCTAATTTGAAAAAGCAGTAGCTTTTATTCTTGCCGCATCAAGATATTCAATGGCTTCTGAAAACAGCTTTGTGCAACCTACGATTCCACGCTTCGATGGTCACTATGATCATTGGAGTATGCTGATCCAAGGAGTACTGGACTCTCGTGGAAATCGGCATTGATGTGCACACTAGTGAGACTGTTTTGACAGAAGCGCAGAGAAAGACGTTGGATGATCAGAGATTGAAGGATTTGAAGACAAAGAATTATTTGTTTCAAGTAATCGATCGTGCCATTCTCAAAACCATCCTGAAGAAGGACACTACTAAAGACATCTGGGATTCAATGAAGACGAAGTACCAAGGCACTGCACGGGTGAAACTTGCACAACTCCAAGCTCTTCACAAAGAGTTTGAAATTCTTCATATGAAGGAAGAAGAGTTAGTAAATTATTACTTTGCAAGAACATTGTCAATTGCAAACAAGATGCGCATCCATGGAGAAAATTTGGAAGATGTTGCAATCATTGAGAAAATCCTTCTCTCAATGACACACAAATTTGACTATGTGGTGTGTTCCATTGAAGAATCGAATGACATTAATAGTCTTTCGATTGATGTGTTGCAAAGCTCACTGTTAGTTCATGAGCAGAGGATGACCAGCTATGTTGTAGAGGAGCAAGCCTTGAAGGTCAGTACTCATGAAGGAACTACTTCTTTAGGAAGAGGTAGAAGACGTAGAGGACTTCATGGAAGCAGCAGAGGTAGAGGACGCCAACTTTCTTACAACCAAGGAGCACAATTTAACAAGGCAAGTGTGGAATGTTATCACTGTCACAAGCTTGGCCACTATCAGTATGAATGCCCTGACAAAGAGAAGGAAACCAAGGTAAATTTCGTTAAGACTAAAGGAGAAATACTCTTGATGGCTTACATCGACAAGAAGGAGATTTCATCAGGTGATACTTGGTATTTAGATTTGGGTTGCTGCAATCACATGTGTGGAAACAAGTCTTTATTTTATGATTTGGATGAAACATTCAGAGAAACTGTTAAGCTTGGGAACAACTCTTGCATTTCTGTCATATGAAAAGGGGATATCAAATTCCATATGAAGAACAACACTGTGCAGACAATTTCTAATATGTTTTATATCCCAGATTTGAAAAGCAATCTCATCAGTATGGGCCAGCTGCAAGAGAGGGGTTATATCATCATCATCCCGCAAAGCCAGTGTCAAATTCATCATCCAGAAAAGGGCCTAATAGTAGAAGCAAAAATGACAGCCAATCATATGTTCCTGCTACACATTCAGTATGATGCCCAGAAGTGTCTCTCGACAAGAGTGCAAGATCCAACATGGTTGTGGCATCTTCGTTATGGTCATTTGAGTTTCAAAGGCTTGAAAACCCTACATGAGAAGAACATGGTGGAAGGATTGCCTAAGATTAATTGTCCCACAGAAATGTGTGAAGATTGCATTGTTGATAAACAACATCATGATTCTTTCCCGCAAGGAAAAGCATGGAGAACTGAGCAAATCCTACAGTTGGTTCATTCAAACATCTGTGGTGAAATCAATCCAACATCAAATGGAAACAAAAGGTATTTCATCACCTTCAATGATGATTATAGTCGAAAAACATGGATTTATTTTTTGCAACAGAAATATGAAGCTTTTATTGTTTTTAAAAGCTTTAAGACTCAAGTTGAAAAAGAATCTGGCAAGTACATTCAGATCCTTCGCACAAATCGTGGTGGTGAATTTAACTCACATAACTTTGCAAGTTTTTGTGAATTGCATGGAATACGGAGGCAACTTACTGCTAGATACACACCACAGCAAAATGACGTGGTAGAAAGAAAGAATCAGACGATTATGAACATGGTGCGAAGCATATTGTTAAAAAAAAGTATTCCAAAGACTTTATGGACAGAAGCAATCAATTGGAGTGTTCATGTACTTAACTGAAGCCCTACCCTTGCTGTAAAAAAACATAACACCACAAGAAGCTTGGAGTGAAGTCAGGCCATCAGTTGATCACTTTAGAATTTTCGGGTGTATAGCGTATGCCCATGTTCCAGATGAAAAGAGATCAAAGCTTGATGATAAAAGTGTGAAGTGTGTGTTTGTTGGGGTTAGTGAGGAATCCAAGGCGTACAGGTTATATAATCTCATTACCAAGAAAATAATAATCATTCGAGATGTTTTGTTTGATGAAGAAAACACGTGGGATTGGAACAACACCGAACAACAGCAAATTTTAATTGATCTTGAGGAAGCTAGTGGTGAAATTATGCAGCCATTGCAACCTCCTCTTGAAAGTCAGGGGTCTAAATCACAATTGCAGCTTCCTTGTTAGTCCCTCGGAGAAGTTTCACCAAGTTCTTTAGCAAGAGTTTCAATTCGAAATGAAGTTCAGGCACCTAGCTCATAACCACATCGATAAAGGGAAAGACCATCTTGGATGATAGATTATGTGAGTGGAGATGAATTATCTGATGAGGATACTACTGCTCATTTCGCTTTATTTGCAGGCTCCAATCCTATATTGTTTGCAAAAGCAGTGAAAGAAGAAAAGTGGAAAAATGTCATGGATGAAGAGATTCAAGCTATAGAGAAAAATGAGACTTAGGAGCTTACCAATCTTCCTAAAGGGCAAAAAACCATTGGTGTAAAGTGGGTTTATAAGACGAAGCTGAATGAAAAGGTAGAAATTGACAAGTTCAAAGCAAGGATGGTTGTGAAAGGCTACAATCAAGATCATGTATTTGATTATCAAGAGGTTTTTGCTTCTGTTGCAAGACAGGATACAATTCGGTTGATAGTTTCATTAGCAGCACAAAACTCATGGCCCATCTTCCAGCTTGATGTGAAATCGACCTTCCTTAATGGTGAACTACTTGAGCAATAAATTGAGTAGCCTCCTGGTTATGTGATAAAAGGTAATGAACATAAGGTTTACAGACTAAAGAAGGCTTTATATGGCCTGAAATAGGCACCTCGAGCCTGATACAGTTGTATAGAAGCACACTTAAAAGGCAGGTTTCAACAAATGTCCATATGAGCACACTCTATTCATCAAGTCTGGAGAAAGAGGTAAAATTATGATAGTTTGCTTATATGTTGATGATCTTATTTTCACGGGCAATGATAAGGCTATGTTTGTTGATTTTAAGAATTCTATAATGGCTGATTTTGACATGACTGATTTGGGAAAGATGAAATATTATATTGGTATAGAAGTAGTACAAACAACTACTAGATTTTTTATTGGGCAAAAGAAATATGCTCATAAGGTTTTGGAGAGGTTTCACATGGAGAATTTTAATCCAGTTGAGACTCCAACTGAATCGGGATTGAAGCTCTCAAGTGATATTGATGGAGAGAGGGTTGATAATACTTACTTCAAACAAATTGTTGGAAGTTTAATGTACTTGATAGCCACTCGGCCTGATATTATGTATGCAATGTGTCTAATTAGCAGGTATATGGAAAGACTAACGGAGCTGCATCTCAAAGCTGCAAAAGAGTGTTTCATTACTTGACAGGAACAACAGATTTTGGTATTTTCTACAAGAAAAATGGAGGACCTATTTTGACTGGTTTCACTGATAACGATTATGTTGGTGATTTGGATGATAGGCGGAGTATAACAGGCCATGTGTTTATGATAGGTTCAGGTGCCATATCATGGGCATTAAAGAAGCAACATGTTGTTACTTCTTCCACAACTGAAGCAGAGTTCGTATCTGCAACAACCTTTGCATGTCAAGCAATTTGGTTGAGAAGGATTCTTGAAGAGTTATAGTTTCATCAACATGGGCCTACTGTGATTCATTGTGATAAGAGTTCAACTATCAAACTCTCCAGGAACCTAGTTTTACATGGAATAAGCAAACATATAGATGTGAGGTATCATTTTCTTCGTGATCTTGTAACTGAAAAACCATTGATTTGGTTTATTATCGAAGTGAAGACCAAGTTGCAGATATCTTGACCAAACCTCTAAAGCTAGAAGCAATTGAGAAGTTGCGTGGATTACTTGGAGTTTGTTCAAGTTCCTTTTTAATCTGATTGCGTAGTTGGCATTCAGTTTAAGGGAGGGTGTTAGATATTTAGTTGTTTGTTTTTCAATAAACTCCTATTTGTTAGGAAGTCTGTTGCATTTACCTATTCCTTAGGAGAATCCCATATTATTAGGAGTTGTTAGTCGTGGGATTAGAGGTTGCTTTATTTTCTAGCTTTTAGTTACTTGCATTTGTATCTAATTAGCCTTTAAGTCAATGAATCAGCATCGCATTCCTTTTACTCATTTTGCAGCAAACTCAGTTTTTAGTTTTACAACAGAGCTGATGACTTCTCCTACTATTTATAGAGTTCTTGGTCTTCTGAATTAGCCCGTGATTAGAGAGATTTAGGAAAAAACGATCGACTATTGAGTTGTAGGCCAAATAGAGAAGCTTGAGTGCTTCGATCTTTGAGTTCCTTGGAAACTTGTTTAATTGTGGTTGTCTTTCCCAAGTTGGCCAAGACCTTCAGTTCAAATCACATTTAATGCGATTGCCTCGCTATCTGAGGTTCTCTAGTTATCGAAGTCACGATCTGGTTATTTGTCTAAAGTTTCGCGCCTTTACCTAGACATCTCTTTTCAAAATTCAAATTGAGAAAGTCGCTTGGCTGAGTTGATATTGGGCTTAAGTCTTTGAGCTATTTTAACTAAAGCCCAATACTTCTAGATAATAATTTTAAAAAAATCCCTTAATGGGCTTTTTTCATTTTCGGTGCAAACAATTTTAATAATAAAATATAAGATACATTCAAAGAATGAAAGAAAAGAACTCTAGCAAGTTGAAAAGCTGGTGCTTATTATTGTTGTAGTTAGTATCTCGAAGTAATTGTTTTCCTAATTCATTATGGAGATTATGACGGGGAGAAATATATGGTTTATTTTTTTGGGGCACAGATACAGTTATGGTTTGTGTTGATCCATTTTGATGTAGTTCTTGTAGTGGTAGGGTAAAGTTCCCCATTAACCTAAAAACCATTGGTAGTCAACAAGTTAACTTTCTTTTGTGTGAGAGCGTGCTACTGTTAATGGTTAAAAACCCTAACATACTATGGAATGTAATAACTTGAGCCCCAAGCTATTGACTTTGATCAAGTGATTGTGAATTTAGGTAAGGAATATCTCCCAAGAAAGTTCTTCTTTTGCCTCATATGGACTTTATAATTTCCCACAATAAAAACTAGTAAGTCTAGCCAAAATAAGTGTTTGAAAAATAAAATAGACTAGTTCAAAGAGAACTGCTTATTATACATTTAAACAAAAAAGATTGCCAAGTCTGGAAAGATATCAAAACATTGGGCTTCGATTTCTGCTTAGATCATTGTCTGTGACTTAGGCTGGACTGGATATATTTGTACTGGAATTGCACGTTAGCACTTTCAACTAATAGAGATCAGCTGGAAATCGATACCAATGTTGAGGTTGGCAGAGCTATAATCAACTTGAGTCATGAAGAGGCTTGTCGAGTGGGCAGAATTGTGATTTCTCCGACCTAGACTGGATTGGAAGTGGCTGGATTGGCAATTGCTGACCTGGGATTGCACTTCAGTACCTGTTTTGCTTGATTAGGGATCACTTGAGAACTATTCTGGTGATTTTGGGACATCAAGATGTCTTTGAAAATTTGTTGAGGTTTTCATATTATGAACAACCTGAGTTCTGCTTGATTCACCTATTTTGAACCAAATTTATAACGAGAGAAATCTCATTTCCCTTATGAGCTGCTTCTTTGAATTGGATTGAAATCAGAAATTCGAGTTCTGCCTGTTTTGTTGGAAGCCGGATGGCTTTTGCAAACTAGATAGCCTGATTGCTTCTGGGTTTGAAGACTTCTAAGATTGTGTGATCTTGCTTGATTTTTGTCAGTATGACTGAGAATTTTTGTCTTGATTTGATTCTTTGTTATCTTCTCTCCAGTTTACATCCTCTTATATTTATAGGAAATCTTCATGATGATGATTCCTTAATATTTGGAGAATATTTGCTGAGAAATGTTTGCTCTAGTAAATAATGGAGTAGCAGTTATTCTGATAGGAAAAGCTAACATCAAGAGTCAGTTATGATGATTGTGGAAGCAAAATATCTACGGATCCTAGGTCAAATAATTAAGCCAATCAATTTGGGAATTATTTGGCCTAATTGGGAGTTACCTGATTTAATTGGCAATTATTCGATTCTCACCATAATTAGAGATTTGATTTAAATCAAATCCCTAATTATGTCAATCTCTCCAAATTGGGGAAGAATAATTCCTTTCCATTTGTAGAATTATTCTTCCGAAACCCTAGCCTCTGAGACACCTATAAATACATGACTACACCAAGGCTTGAGCTAATTCTAAACCTATGTCTAAACTTCTGTATGAAACTCTACAGAAATTCCATCTCACAAACCCTAGCCACCATAACTCTTTCTCTCTTTCACACAAGGCTCCGCCCACCACACACGGCTCCGGCCACTCAGTTCACACCATACATACAACTCCGTACCCTTTTCATTAGCTATTGTTTTCCTACAAACACTTTAACTAACTTAGCATTAGAGGGCCTTTGGCCAACACCCCCGGTGTGGCCTTTTATTCCGATTTGTTTTGCAAGGAGAAAGAGAAGCGAAGAGGAAGACAAAATCTTAGACGAATATTCCTGTAGGACGAAAATTGCTCCCACAAATTGGTGCTTTCATTGAAAGATTCGAGATATACTTAATGCGATGCTCTCAAATCCAAATTAAGGCAAATCCGTTTTCCCCCCTCATTCATTAATTCTATCGTCGGTTTCATCTGAAACCCTCAAATCACTATGGTGAGAGGCCCCACTATGAAGAATACGACGAACTGCATGTCGGCAAAAATTTCTCTAGGCACCCAAGGGCCATTTTCCTCTCTGTCAAAAAAAAACCAAAAAAAAACCAAAAAACAAAAGCTTCTGCAAGCAACAGAAAGAAGGAAAAATGGAGAAAACAACATACTGCTCTGTTGCCGGTGTCGACCACTAACGACGCAGCCTATTCCACCATGAACACTTGTAATTAAATGCTGCTTTATTTTAATGCTGTTTTAAATATTTATTTAATATTAATTTTTTATTATTATTATTTTATGCGAAGAGGAAGCATTTATGTTAAACTTAACCAAAAAAAAAAGCATTTATGATTTCCTAAACTAAGAAGTATGGTTGGAGTTGAAATTTTACAAAAACTCTTCAAATAGCTTCATAGTGGATGATTGTGGATGCTCTTAACTCCTGTAACTACAGTACAAAATCAGGAAAATTGAAATTAGGCACCAAATTTGATTTTGAGCCAGTGACAAAAAATGTAATTAATCCCCTCTGTTTTTTTTTCAAACGCCTTCTTTTCTGCGTTTTATTTCTTCAGTTCTTCTCCTCTCTCGCTGTCTCTCGTCTCCTTTCTTCTCTGTGTGTCTCTGTCTCGCTTTCTATCTCTCGTCGTGTTCCTCTTTTCTTCTCTGTGTCTTTGTCTCGCTCTTTCTCTCGTCGTCTTCCTCTTTCTTTCTATTCTAGCCGGAGTCGAATCCGTTCAGATAGTGAAGAAGAAGAAAAATTAAGAATGGAGGTGGACGATGTGCCACTGGACGACAAGGCGAAGAGAATGAGGGATCTGCTATCGAGCTTCTACTCCCTAGATCCTTCAATGTCCTCCCCAGACACTAGTTCCTCATCCAAGTACGCCACTCTCGACGCCATTAACACCACCTCATTCGATCCCGACCAGTACATGCATCTCTTGGTACGATCTCTTATTTCTCACTCCCTTATGTTTTGCAAATGGAGGATTCACTTATTTGTTTATTTAATTTTCAAACAAACTTAACTGGGTTACCAAATGACTGATAATTAGGGCAGATTTAGTGTTATGCGAAGAATTTGATGTTTGTAGCTCTGTTAGAGACAGATGGTTTGGAAGATTCTTCATGTTTGTAGCTAATATTTGTAGAGTTAAAAAGAGGTATTACTTGCGATTAAGAAGCAGAGGTCTAGTGCTGAGCTGGGAACATGGGCAAAGGAAAGAAACTGTTTTTTCTTATAGCACAAATGGAAATGGGCATTTGGTTTAGAATCAGGCTAGTGGACTTTATATGAACACAGATGTCATACAGTAATCTACTCCTTTCTCAGATAACATGGTTGCATACTTGGATCCATTTACTTGATGGAATGTATGATGGATAATTAATTATATGAGATACCATGAGTTATGATATTCGTAATTTCAATAATCATAATAGATTAAATTTTGTTATTGAAGATGAGGCAGAAATTGAACTTTGAATCATAATTATCAGTTGTATGAACTATGTAGGTACACAAGTCAAATTTGGAAGGGCTTCTACAGAAACATGTTGAAATGGCTGCTGAGATAAAGAATCTTGACACTGACTTACAAATGTTAGTATATGAGAACTACAACAAGTTTATTAGCGCGACAGATACAATTAAACAGTAAGTTTTTACTTTTACTTATTTATCTGTGTTTGCTTGATTGGCTAAATCTCTGCTACTACCATATCATTTATCTATTTTTGCTTGTTGTGTATCAGCTTCTAGATAACATAACCAAAAGTCTCTTATAATGTTTTGGCGTTAACAATTTTATTGTTATTTTTTTCCAACAGGATGAAAAGTAATATTGTTAGCATGGAGGCAAATATGGAACAGCTCCTTGAGAAGGTACATCCAATTTTTTTTCTTTTTTACCCAGGTCTTGCGGAAACTGTGTTTTCATTTGAAAGTAAATATAGGGAAGAAAGGAGTGTAAAGGAAAGAAACTGTGTTTTCATCCAAATGTCTTACATTCACAGTGCAATCATTGCAGATAATGTCTGTGCAATGTAGGAGTGATGGAGTCAACACTTCTCTATTTGAGAAGAGAGAACACATAGAAAAGTTGCATCGCACACGCAACCTTCTTCGTAAAGTTCAGGTTTGAAGCGGTATATATTTATGGTCTTATATGATGCTAAGGGTTTTAAGTGTGTCTGGCAGTGACGTAAATTTCATTTTCCGTGGAAAGGCAGTTCATATATGATCTACCTGCTAGACTTGGAAAGTGTATTAAATCAGAAGCATATGCTGATGCGGTCAAGTTCTATACTGGAGCAATGCCAATTTTTAAGGTAATTTCTTTCTCCTATGATCTTTTGCACGTGGGACTAATTTTCACTTTGTGGAATTTGTTTTCAATTGTCTTGTTTCTTTTTGGTTGGACTCTTTATTATTAGGCATATGGAGACTCGTCGTTTCAGGATTGTAAGCGAGCATCTGAAGAAGCAGTGACCATAATTATTAAGAATTTGCAGGTTTATCTTTTTCTTCCTATTTTAATTTCATTTTATACTATGATCAGGCTGGTTTTTCTTTCGACCCATGCCTAACCAGGAGCCATTAGATGTCTTTTCCTTACTTGCCTTGCAATTTTTCTTTGGTGGGTTCTTGTTAAGTTTCTGCAGTTGAGTTAGTGCCACTGTGTTGGATGCTGTCTTAGTTTATGTGTTTAGGTGCACACAACATAGTCCTGCATTTGCATTAATACATAGATTGGTGTTAGAGGTAGTTTTCTTGTGGAAGTAGTACCATCACTATTTGAAATTCTTAATCTTAATTAATTATGCAGTATGTTAGGTATTATGCCTATATCTCAGATGTAGGATTAGCTTTAGGTTTGCTATATGTCCAACATTCTATATGTACTATGTAACAGTCCGGTATTACCCTTTGTGGTTGATAATTTATTTTAGCGAAAGGGTTCTGATTGAAATGTTTGGGTAGCATTTGCTTTGGATGAATACAATATTTCAGTAATGTGATGCATGGGTCGACCTAAAAAGCTCTTCGAGTGCATGGGCTTGGTGTGAGTCTTGTGATTGAGATGTTCTTGCTGGATCCTATAAGACAATAAGTAATAGTTATGAATCAAGGGACAACATTTTCACTGTCTGTCAAAGTTATTACTTATTATCCGTTACTTGTGTTTCTGGGGACTATTACAGTACTATCTTAAGCATAATTTCACAGAAGAATGGACATTCACCTTCTGATGTGTGACTTTTATCAGCATTAATGTAGTGCAGGAAAAATTTTGACATCTTTATCTTGATCTGTAGCCCACCAGATTTTTAGAAAAGCCAAGTGTTTAAAATCACAATTCCATGCTGAATAATTTACTGACTGTAACTTTATCTAGGTTTGTTATGAAACGTATCTTATGATTTTTCATATTATTGTCTTCAGGGAAAGCTGTTCTCGGATTCTGAATCTATACAAGCAAGAGCTGAGGCTGCTGTGCTTCTTAAGCAATTGGATTTCCCAGTTTGTACTGAACTTTTATTTATTTATTTATATAAGTTTGTCAGTTCAGATTATTAACAAGTTGTGGCTCTAATCAAAGAAAGAGTATTCAATATTTGATTGTTAGTAATGGTGTGAACATATTGCTCAAAATGAAATGGGTAGACATTTGAAAATGAGGTTATTCTCTTATTTTTGTTGTTATTTGCATCCTAATCATTGTAAGTTTTGTAGTAATTGAGGCATAGATGCACGCTGCTTTTTATTGACTAGTGGAATCTTAACAAAGCAAATACATTTAAAAGGAAATTCCAATAAGTTTTCAAGTATTTTGTATTACATTGATGTGCATTTGATGACATATTGCCGACCTTTTGGCAGGTGGACAGCTTAAAGGTGAAACTTCTTGAGAAGTTGGAACAATCTGTTGCCGGCCTTCAGCTTAAGATAGAAGATATAGGTAATGCTTCAGTGGATTCTAATGATACTTCTACTGACACAGTTCCTGCTACTGCACATGAGGTGAGTACTTATTTACATTGGACATCATTTTGGTTATCATCTTTGGCAAGTAGTGTATGACGGCTTGAACTGAAAAGGAACCTTAAAAAAGCATTATGCAGGAGCATCTTTAGAAATTTTTTTGATTAACTTATGCATTAGGGTGATTTAAGTCAATTTATAATCAGTCTTTTAGATTGGTAAATCAAGTTCTCTGGAGACTGGTTGGTTTTGGTTACAACTAAGTAATATCTTAAAAGATTTGTTTTTCCTTGCTGGAGAGTGCTTCAAACTTTTAAAGATATTTGGATAAAGTGAAAGAGCAATAAGTTAAGTTTAGAAGAACATGGTGCCTGTATTGTACTGAAAGTTTTTATTAAACTTAAATGGGCATTCAAGCGCTTTTCCCCTTGTGCTTCATGATTACTCCCCGCTCATGGTTACATATTCCCTCTTTCTCTTATATATCTGTAACTCATAACTGCACTAATGAATCCCTGACTTATTCACACAAAATTTAGACTTCTGTTTGTGAGTTTGCGGAGGCTATCCGTGCTTATCGTGTAATATTTCCTGATTCGGAAATGCAACTAACCAAACTTGCACAAGACTTGGTTAACAGGTAAGGGGGCATATCTTTTTGTTAATTGAGATACCTTGTTGTATGGTAGCAATTTTCTCATGGAGTGTACTTGATGTTTGTTTCTCTAGGCACTTTGAAACCACTGAGCAATACATAAAGACACAAGTTTGGTCGGCAAACCTACTAGGTGTTCTTCGTAAGTATTAACAATGTGTTATCACACACACCATCCTTAACATTGGTCTACGTCTACCCCACCTTTGGAAAATGGAAATTTTAACTCTTAAGTATCCGTCAACTCTTCAGCTTTTGGTCTATTTAAGTATGTGCTTGGGCATCTTCATATTGTAAGAACGTGTGTAATTGTTGTTTTATCCTAAGAAGTTCCATTGACATGATCTGTGCTTTCTCTATTTTGATACCCTTTTTGCACTATAATGCCTTTTACCCATCGTTTTGAAAATCCAATTAACTTTTACTTAATTAAAAGGAAAAAAGATTCTCTTGTAGATGAATCTTTTTATACTTGTATCTACTATGCAACAAATGTGAAGGTTTCTGGTGACTACCAGAAGACTGCCTTCAGGGAACTGACAAAAGCGGCCACATTTGGCAGTGAGCTTTGTGTATCAATGTTTTTCTAACAGAACCTTTGGGCTAGCTTTGCTATGCTGCTACTAAGCTAGTCTTTCACTTGGGTCTTCCTAATTGTTAGCATTTAAGAGGCAATTTTCACCTTTCCACCCATTATTGTCCGTTTAGATGTCATGTAAGATTAAACTGTTCAATGTTTGCAGGAAAGAAAAAGAATCAGACCCTTCCTGTTTTAAATTTGATGTCAGTTCCTTGTCAATTTAAACCTGAAAATCTTCTCTTGAAATGCTTAACCAAAACCCTTTCTCCATGCAGGGATTATATGGAGAGATGTACTTCTGATGGATGATGTGTTACATGAGGCTGCTCTCTCTGACTATTCTCTGGAGGTCTCCCTTAAATAAATTTCAAATTTTTTTTTATAATACTGTTTGCAGCATTTCTTCCAAACTCTCAAGAACTGAAAGTAGATTCTTAGTTTTTTGGGTTGAAGAATGGTTCTAAGCGTAGAAGGTAATCTATGTTGTTGCAGCCTGCTCGGGTTGCTGTGAAACTGTATGTTAGCAACAAATTCTCTCATCTGCTAAGCAGTATTTCAGGTTATTCATTTCTTGCAGTTCAAAGTTATTTTTCTTCATAAATTCTTTCTACTCTTAAGCCATAATCTCAACTTGTTGGGGTCAGAGACATGGATACTTTTTGGCCAACATTTGGCCCTATTTAAGGCCATATTTTCTGTTAAATCCGTATTGTTCCTGCTCCTTTTCAGATTTTTGACTCATATCATTGTAGACTTGCTAGTCAAATCAACTGAAAATGGAAAAAATGAAAAGATTTGAAATTAAATTGATAAAGCAGTTGACCCATTGTAAACAACAAGAGTATAATGTTCAATGGACGAATCTTGTAGATGAGAATAACTTGATAGGCTTGGAATGGTGTACGTTAACCTGGTCACAGATTTGGAAATATTGTCATTTGACCTTTAACAACTGAGGATCACACACACACCCACACACTCTCTCTCTCTTGCGAGTTTTATTTTTTTGTTCTGGTGACACAATTTGAGCTGAATTTGTTTGAACTGGCAGATGCCCTCACAAAAGCCCACACTAGACAGAAGGATAAAGGAGAAGAGTATTCCTTGCAAGTTGCTCTGGAGGGTGGCAAAAAGGCAGTGCTCCAAGGCAGCATGGATGTGTTACTGGTACTGTATGAGATACCATGTAGTCTATGTTACTGCACTTAAACTATGCTTGCATTGCATAAATCTACAGCTTCATCTCTCTCATGTCTTAATATACCGATAATTGATGGAACTGTTCCCTCCATATATACTCATAAAGTTGGAGCCCATGTTTGTTTGAATGGTGGCTATGTGCTTGTGTGTTTTGCACATGCTTCCTGGAACTTATATTTGGATATATGCGGGGTTGACTACATAAATGCAGCTGATACATTTTTTTTTCCGTTTTCGGAATATGGGTCTAAACAATTTGGCCATTTTTTGTTTTAAGTCTTCCTACAGTATCCAAGAAAAAACTCTACATACATTGTTGATTTCAAACTTCTCATTTCTTTAATTTTTTTTCCCCCTATTGCTGTTGGCCTATTAACCCCTTTACAAGTGCATGATTTCTTACTCATCAAAAGAGGGACAAATTGATGCTCATCTCTTCATTCTATCATTTGTTTCAGGACTTCCGCCAACTTCTAGATGATAATTTGGGCCTACTAGTTAAACTGAAAGACTTGATTATTGATTGGGTCCAAGAAGGATTTCAAGACTTCTTCAGGGCACTTGATGGCCACTTTCTCTTGCTTTCTGGCAAGAATAGTTCGGCCACTCAAGATCAGGGTTTGACAGAGGGAATACAAGATGACAAAGTTCTGGCTGGGCTTGTCCTTGTGCTGGCCCAAGTTTCTATTTTCATTGAACAAAATGCTATCCCGAGAATCACTGAGGCAAGCAGCCAACTATAAGAATTATGTTTCATGCTAAAAAAAGTGTCAATACTGTAGTTATATTTTCCTCCATATCCTCAGGGCTTGCATTGAAGTTTCATCTTTTAATTGTCAGGAAATAGCTACTTCCTTTTCTGGTGGTGGTGCCAGGGGCTATGAATATGGACCTGCTTTTGTTCCTGGAGAAATTTGTCGGATTTTCCACTCAGCTGGTGAAAAGTTTCTGCACACTGTATGAATTAAAAAATTTCTGAATTCTGAATTTTAGGTTATTCAAATGCATTTTATTCCTTGGGCTACTATGATTAAACCACTTTTATCCGTTACTTATACATTCATTTGTTAACAAGTATTGTTTTGATCTTCTCTTTTCAGTATATAAATATGAGAACCCAGCGGATATCAGTTCTATTAAAGAAGAGGTTTACCACCCCAAATTGGGTCAAGGTAAGCTTGTTGTAGGGCAATATTTCAATAATAGGAAGTAGTTAGCATGTGGACTAAACCATTAATGGCATGTTTACTTATCAGTAATGGGTATCAGAATGATTCCAATTCCTTCTTTGAATGTGTGGGTATTGGAATGATTCCAATTCCTTCTCCTGCATTTACTTACACATACGGGATAAAGAATTGTGCATGGTAAAATCCGTAATCAAATACCCTAAACACGGAATCAGATCAACTTAGGGGGAGTAGTTGATCTGATTCCAATTCCTTATTCCCAAATTTTTAAGTTCTCCAAAATAAATTTACCTACCAATGTAAATACTTTTGATTTTTACTTTTTTGCAGCACAAGGAACCCCGGGAAGTTCATATGTTTGTTGATTTATTTCTTCAAGAGGTAAGTACTTTTTTTTTATGCTCCCCCATATATTGTTATCTCTTGGAATAACAGTAAAGTTGAGGGGAAAATTGTTTGGTGCCTGGTTTCTTAAATCTATTTAATGTTGTCAGATTGCATAAACTTTACTGTCTTTCTTGTGTTAGTTGGAAGTAATTCGAAGTGAAGTTAAGCAGATTTTACCTGAAGGGATTCGTAGACACCGACGGGCTGATAGCAATGGAAGCACTGCCTCATCACGGAGCAATCCATTACGAGAGGAGAAATTGAGTCGGTCAAACACCCAAAGGGCCAGGAGCCAGCTGTTGGAAACCCATCTAGCAAAACTGTTTAAGCAAAAAGTTGAAATTTTTACGAAAGTTGAGTTTACACAGGTATTGAAGTACTTTTTGCTCAAACGAATATTGGTGCTGGTTTAGGAACAACATGAACTGTGTCTGCTTGCAAATTGCAGGAGTCTGTGGTAACAACCTTGGTAAAACTTTGCCTTAAAAGCTTGCAAGAATTTGTCAGACTCCAAACATTTAATCGAAGTGGATTCCAGCAAATTCAGTTGGATATTCAGTTCTTAAGGACTCCTTTAAAGGAAATGGCAGAAGATGAGGCTGCCATTGACTTTCTGCTGGATGAGGTATTGAGAAAACCGTCTAAGCTCTGCATCCTGGACTCTAACTTTGTATAGCTGCTCTGCTTGAGTTCATATCTGTATATTGCCTTTTCTTTTGAATTGTTAATGTTGGAAACCTCTAAGTTTGTGTAGCTGCTCCGCTTGTGTTGTATCTGTATATTGCCTTCTCTTTTGAATTGGTAATGTTGGAAACCTCTCTCTCCCTCTCTAAACCTTTTAAGGACTCCTTTCAAGAGGTGAGGGAAAGGGAAGGTGTTCCATTGTTCATGATTCAAAACTTATGTTTTTTTAAGACCTTTCCTATTGAGAGGGGTGATAGTATACTAAACTCACACACACTATACGGATGTTAAGAATTGAACCCAAGACCTTGCCTAGAGGAGCAATTGCTCTAAACCACTACATTAGTGGGTCCTTTGCCAGAACCTATGTTAAGAGTTTTGGAATTTCAGGAAAAAATAATTGGTTTGGGCATCTTTTATTGAGCAGGTAATTGTTGCAGCCGCAGAGCGTTGTCTTGACCCAATTCCTTTAGAGCCTGCCATCTTGGACAAACTTATACAAGCAAAGTTGGCGAAGACCAAGGAACAGAATCCAAACTCTCCGTAGCATCTTAAGGTGCAGAAATTTTGCGACCTTTCATTCTCTCTTACTCTCCTCCCATGCTATGTTCTTTAAAACTTGCCTTAGTTTCTAATTTGATTATTTGGTTTTTTCATAGGTTTAACTGTGTAAGACGTATGTATGAAGAAAACAATTTTTCACAGGTTTCACGGAGGCTGAGGCTCTAAGATCCTCTTGATATTGAAGGGCATGTACAATTCGTGTATTTGATCTGGCTTTGAAATATCACTGCATCTGTAAATGCTTCAAGGCTGCAGTAGAACAATTGCCAGAATTCTTTCAAATGCATGCTCATCATACACTCGGCAAATGACATTTTCTTAATCAATTATATTCCCTTGCTTGAAATGACACTTTGCTTTCCTCATGTTTTGTATGTGACAGATAATATATCATTAGTAAATAATATTTCTGTTAATGCCCGAAATAGGAAAGAGTAAACACAAAGGAAAGATACAAGAAGAAAGGACCAAAGGAGAAATGCATCAAACTGGCACCACATTCTAGAACTTCACATTGCACCAAGCACAACATTTTTCCGGTTTTATTTAACGAATGTTGTCTATGAGATTTGAATTCTCCGTCCCTTTTTCTTCCTTGTACAATAAAAATAAATCTCATTATAAAAATACGGTAAGTTTCAATTAACAAAGCATTTTATCCTATGAAAATGGCACTGCAGAGCGTGAGAGGAATTCAGTAACTTGGGTCAATTTGGGTTTTCAGATCTCTGTCCGTGTCCTCCCCTTCTTGTCTCTCTGTTAGAACCCAACCATTACAGCACACTTATCCGAGTTTGAATTCCTATTTCCGTAGTTTAGATTATATTAAAATAAAATATCTCTTAATATCAAAAATGAAAAGAAAAAAACAGAGTTCTAGAAGCTCCTTTTGGACTGCTAACAACATTAATATGTGGGCCTCCAGCCATTGTTTTGAAGTGAAATACAGAGATCTAGGCTGGCCCGTTGTATGGTCCAATAAAAAACACATAACCAAAGAATGCCAGAGCGGCAGAGCCCGTCTCTTTCTTTTATCTTTCTTTCCCGATAATTAATAATTCTGAATCAAAACTTGAGATATCAAACAAGCAAAAGCATCGATATTATCGAACCCATAAAACTTTTCTTCAACTCCCAACAGTCTTAACGCTCATTTCCACCCTCTTTGTTGTTGGTGTGCAGCGGGTGCGAAGTTACGGACTGCAAACTGCAAACCATGACTGCTATTATCAATTCGCTGGCTTTGACTACAAATCCTCATGTCCAGCTCTCGTCTGGTAATTCCCGCGTGATCTAATCAAACTGCGTTTGTTGGATTCTCAGCTAAATTTTTTATATATTTTTCTTGATCTTAGTTATTGAATTAATAAGTAATGTTCTTGCTTGCAAGTGTTCTTGCATTTCAATTTGATGGTTACTTAACTTTTTTGCTTTAAATGAAAGATGAAATATGTAAATAGGCTGTCAATGATTTCATTTTGGATGTCTGTATATGATATGGAACCTCTCACACTTACAAACTAGGATTCGCAGATGACTTTTATGTTCTTTTAGAGTTCGTGTTTGAGCCCGAAATAAGAACAGAAAGCAATCTTATATTTCCCAAGTTAGTATTGCCTTGCAACTTGCAAGCCAGGAGAAAATGCCTTGTTTCTATGCAGCTTTCCCGAGCTCCTATTAAATTACTGTGTAATTTTATGTAAATTTAAGGCTATTTTTTCTGCATTTTTTGTTGTTGTTAAAGCTAGGTCATCGAATCTGAAACAAATTGGCAATAGCTGTAGAGACCCAGGAACTTATATTTGTGAGGCTAGGCTTAGGTTAGGTTTCTCTAAGTGAGATTTTACACCCTGGGATTAAACTGAAATAGCTAACCATCTGCAAATGATAGTGGAGTTTATTCCAAAGATCCATAGCTGATGTAAGGGTTATATATATCTATACATTATTTTCCCATTAACTAAGTGGTTAGTATCAGAATTCACTGAACGTTCTTGTGGCATTTTCCATATCAGCAATGAGTTTATTGCTGCACTTAGTTTCTGTTTATGTGCTGGATTTCGAATAATGTTGCTTTTTCTGTTCCTGTGAAATTCTTCACCAGGGTCTCCTCTGAAACCATCACAACAATATCTTGGGAGTGTGGCCCCTATAAACTTGTCACTCAATTCAAAGCATATTGGGAAAGCTCAGCTATCTACCTCCAAGAGGTCCTTCACAGTTCAGGCTGGATATAGGTATTCTGTTTGTCCTTGCATTATAATCCTGATTCTGATGGTGTGTTTTGGGTTCTTGTTTGTGATCTGGACATGCTAGTTGTATAATGCAAAATGCATGGTAGCTGCTGATTTATTTTCTTTGAGTACGAGTTTCTCATTAGAGTTCTGTAGTGTGGGATTTGTATATTTTTCGGACAAAATGTATGTCTATTATACATTTGAATATTTTAATTATTGTTTCTCAAACTGTTAAATCAGCAATACATATAAATCTGGGAATTGGTTGAGACTAAATTTTGTTTCCAGTAAGACGATATAAAAAGAAGGGAAATAATTCTTAATATTACCACTGCCTGGTGGCTTGTTGATTCTTCAAGATCTCAGTTTTCCTTTTTATGTTTGATATCTTCCCCATATCCATATAATGTCCTGGCTATTTATATAAAAAATTGACCTCACACATACTTGGAGTCATGACTGCATTAAGGTAACAATTAGTTATTAATAAAACTTTTCTACTTTCCATGTTTCCTGGGATTCAATATTTGTTTGCAGAAGGAATACGTATACTCGATGTAGCTCAACTAGTTCATCCAACAATATAGAAATCAAGGAATATAGTCAACTCACTTCAATTTCATTTTGCCTAATTGATAGGACACATGCATGTTTCTCATGATGGTAAAACAATTTGAGAAGATATTTTCATGATATTTGTCTCCTAATCCTAAGGTGAAAGAATAAGACATGAGAGAGAATTAAAAGCTCTTCTATTTCGAAATTTATAATAAAGGATATAAAGGTGACAAACTTGAAATAATGATATCAGAGTATTATTATATCTCATTGTGTCCTCCTCTAGGGCACAATGCTCTGTTTAATTTCATTTGCTCATCATAAGGTACTTTGTTCAATAATGAATAGTAATATTTTCATTTCATTTCCCCAGCTGTCATTGGTGGTGCTTTCACGATCTAGCAATATTGTAGATATGATACTGTCTTTTGAAATTCAATTTTGTATTTTAGTATGTCATTTTCAGTTTATCACATGTTTACCTTTCAATGATATTCTAATGACAGTCTGCTTGTGTAATTACAGTGATGGAGGTAGGTCAAACAGTTCAAGCATCTTCATCAGTGGCTTTGTTTTGGGAGGACTTATAGTTGGCACACTGGGTGCTGTATATGCACCTCAGGTTTCCACTCATCGATTATGATTGTTTTATCTTGTATTGTGCTACTTTATATCTATGTTATTCATCAATCAATTATTACCAATGGTTGAAATGTGTATATTTTAAGACTAACGAGTTACCTACTTTGAAATTTATGCAAGTCTATACTCTGTACCTCACAAATTTGCCGTGGTTGGGTTCTGTGATTTGTAAATGTTGCAGTTTGTGGGCTACAGAGTTTACTTGATGGCCTCTTGCATTAAGCCCAAAAATAAAAAGCATTTTTCTGACTGAGAATTTTTTTTCATCAACAGATCAGTAAAGCACTGGCTGGAGCTGACCGGAAGGATCTAATGAGAAAACTGCCCAAGTTCATATATGATGAGGACAAAGCTTTGGAGGTGAGAAAGCTCCCTTGCTGGTTTTCTGTCTTTTAGTTTTTTTTCTTTTCTTTTCATATGTTCAGCATTGTTGGAGATGCTGAAGTGCTATTTTGTTGTCATTGCTATGTTGTCCACTTTGTTTCAGTTTCTATCAAATATTTTTTCACTAATCATTGTTTGCCAAAATGCTTGGTTAATGTTTGCTATAGAGAGAGACCGTTGTGATTCTAATCCCATAATATTCTATTTTCTTTATTTTATGTTTACTGGAAAAATCAATTATGCCTTATTTGCACCACAGAAAACACGAAAGGTACTGGCTGAGAAGATAGCGCAGCTGAACTCTGCTATAGATGATGTTTCTGGCCAGCTCCGATCGGAAGATGATCCAAATGAAGTACCTGTGAGCACAGATGAAGTTGAAGCTGTCATATGAGAAGCCCATCGGAATCTGTCATGTATTTCAGTGTTTCAGTATTTGCCCAATAATCAGTGTAGTTTTGTTCTTCTATGTGGGAGCTCCTAGTTTTGGTCAATGTGATTGTACCCTCTGGTCCCAAAATTGCTAATATTTGGACGATGACGAATGTAGGAATTTTTAATTTTTAAAGCTGTTTTTTGCTGTCTGCATTTGCTAGTACGGCCTATAATAAATAATATATTTGTTATATATATATATATAAAGGAATTACAAAACAGCGGGACCTGAGTGATGCTGAATTCAGTATCCGTTATTTGTGGTTGAGATCTTCAAGCCTTGAGAGTGGCTGTTTTGCCCTCTTAACCAAAGAAAGTAGATTGGAAGGGCATTCTAGGAAAAAAAGTTGGGTAATAACCTGCGGTTCATATTTTGGGAAGCCTTGCAAATAGACATGATCTTATCTCCTATATCTTCATGTACCATGCTATAACCACAAGTTCCTTTAATTCAATTTCAACCATATTTTAAAATAAGGGAATGTTCAGATTACTGAAGGCACGAATGTAACTGTATATATATATATATATATAGTGGCAAAGTCAGTCCCTTAGCTTTAGTTGCAGCCATGGCCTCACACGCAGCTCTAGCCTCTACAAGAATCCCAGCCAACACCAGGCTGCCCTCCAAGTCCTCGCACTCTTTTCCTGCTCAATGCTTCTCCAAGGTCTCTCTCTCTCTCTCTCTCTCTCTCTCTCTATGTTCACGGCGTCACGCTTTTATTAGGTTCCGAGTTTGATATAATTTGCTTACTCTTTTTGGCTGTGCAGAGGCTGGAAGTTGGTGAATTTTCAGGTCTAAGATCCAGTTCATGTGTGACCTATGCAAGCAACGGTAGAGAGACATCCTTCTTTGATGCTGTGGCTGCACAACTTACTCCCAAGGTTTTATATTCCCATTTTTTTTCATTTCATTAGGCAACATATGTGTTTGATTGAACGGATATTAGATTGTTCACTAAACCTGAATTCATATTTTGAGCACCTGAATTTTTTTTTGAATTCAATAAGGCGTAGTGATACATTACAAATCCACAAGTGCTATACATGCCATGCTTGCTTACTATAGCACGTAAATTTATCCTGAGATTATATATCCAGAAAATTCTTTGCTGGACAATCCACAATGACCAAAATATACGAAAGTGCTAATGTTGATCAACGCTATGTTATTGGGGTGAATTTTCTGTTATATTAATTTCGTACTCATAACTTTTGTTTTGTTTAATGCATAGCAGACTACAGGACCAGCTCCTGTTAAGGGAGAAACAGTGGCCAAATTGAAGGTGGCAATCAACGGATTTGGTCGTATTGGCAGGAACTTCCTCCGATGCTGGCATGGCCGGAAGGACTCACCTCTCGATGTCATTGTTGTCAATGACAGTGGTGGTGTCAAGAATGTAAGGGAACTTATGAGAATTAATATATATAGCTTAATTTAACACGCTTTCGGAGAATCATATTGGTAAAATTATATTACATTAAAATTTAATTTAATCTCAAATACAGGCTTCACACTTGCTGAAATATGACTCAATGCTGGGTATTTTCAAAGCAGACGTTAAAATCGTGGACAACGAGACCATCAGCGTTGATGGCAAGCCTGTCCAGGTTGTCTCTAACAGGGATCCCCTGAAGCTTCCTTGGGCTGAGCTTGGCATTGACATTGTTATCGAGGTAACTGATTGCTGTGCTCAGACTAGAATATCAAGAATAAGGATGCCAGATATCTATTACAAAAGAACTGCAATCTTTAATTAGCTTGGAGCCTTGGATAATATTGTAAATAGTACCTTATTATACAACATAATTGGATAACCTACAGGGCACAGGAGTCTTTGTTGATGGCCCTGGTGCTGGTAAACACATCCAAGCTGGTGCCAAGAAAGTTATCATTACAGCTCCAGCAAAAGGTGCTGACATTCCTACCTATGTTGTTGGGGTGAATGAACAAGACTATTCCCATGAGGTTGCCAACATTGTCAGGTCAGTATTCTCAAATCGATTAGCGAGATAGGGAAAAAACCATAACAATTATGACTGTGCTTGAGTAAATTGACTTAATATTCTAGAGGTATAAAATTTGTATTTGTGTGTTTTGCAGCAATGCTTCTTGCACCACAAATTGCCTGGCTCCTTTTGTAAAGGTCTTGGATGAAGAATTTGGTAAACAGTCGTTCGTATTTTCAGCATGAATCAAAACGGCACACCTTCGAGGACTAATTCTTTGTTTTTCATGAAAACTTGCAGGCATTGTCAAGGGAACCATGACAACTACACACTCCTACACCGGAGACCAGGTAATGAATGGCACCTTCATTCTCCTCTGCATATAGATTTTGTTCTTGCCTTACAATCAAAATGCACTCAAGGATTGACATTTTGATGTCCTGACAAAGGAACAGTTGTAATGAGTAATACTAATACCTATGGAGGCATTCAAAATCAAGTATAAATTGTTTATGGCGTACTGTGCATGCATGTGCAGAGGCTCTTGGATGCTTCACACCGGGACTTAAGGAGAGCCAGAGCTGCAGCACTCAACATAGTTCCCACAAGCACTGGTGCAGCCAAGGCTGTGTCTCTGGTGCTGCCTCAACTCAAAGGAAAGCTCAACGGAATTGCCCTCCGTGTGCCAACACCTAATGTATCAGTGGTTGACCTTGTGATTAATGTTGAGAAGAAAGGTATTTCAGCAGAAGATGTCAATGCAGCCTTCAGAAGGTCAGCCGAGGGACCACTGCAGGGCATATTAGCAGTCTGTGACGTTCCTCTTGTGTCGGTAGACTTCAGGTGCACCGATGTTTCCTCCACCATAGACTCCTCCTTGACCATGGTCATGGGTGATGATATGGTCAAGGTGGTTGCCTGGTACGACAACGAATGGGGATACAGGTGAGTCCACTCGTTATAAATCTAGAAAGAGTTTTTCATTGAACAAAATTAACGTTGCATGGAATGTTAGTCTAAAACTATTCACTATATATTCAAGCTCAACTGTGTCTTGATCTTTCTGTGGATTATTATTTTTGGCAGCCAAAGGGTTGTGGATTTGGCACATTTGGTTGCAAGCAAGTGGCCAGGCACGTCACAAGCGGGAAGCGGAGACCCGTTGGAGGATTTCTGCAAGACAAACCCGGCTGACGAGGAGTGCAAAGTCTATGAAGCATAGACTAATCTTTTTGGCTTTAGCAGTATTTGTTATCAGCAAATGCTTATATTCTAATCACAACTGAGGAAAGGGAACAAAAGCAAATAAATTATATATTAAGATTACCCAAATGATTCTCATCAGAGAGAGAGTATCTTCTTTTTAAACCATATATATAGGCTTGCTTGGGATGTTTACACCATAGGATTTTAATTAACCTCAATTTGCTTCCGTTAAGAAAGTTGGGTTAATAAAAATTTTGTTGACAAAGTGCAAAATGAAATAAATTTAAAAATAATAATAATAATAATAACCATTAGGATGCTGAGCTCGTCGGAGAGGACCAAAAGAGCCCTTTTATCTTGCATATACGCATCTTCAGAAAGATGCATGTAAAAAAACACTACGAACATCAATGGACCAACCAACGTTCACTGCAAGAGCAAGAGTAAGCAAATGTGGAGTGCTTAGCAACCGGACAATTAATTTAACATAACTATAAGAAATTAAAAACCAAAACCAACCCCGAAATAACTAAAATCCTAAAACAACTCATACACCATTTTCTACTAGCCCCTTGGCACATGCTCACGCATGTGCCAATTGGTTTTCTTTTTTCTTTTTTCTTTTATTTTTAGAATTAAGAAAATATAACATGGGTAGTTATGTTCCTTAAAAGTAGGACCTATTATCTGATTTTGTTTTTAATTTTTAATTTTTAATATATAAAAAAGTGAATTTACCATATTATCCTCATTTAATTAATAATTTCAATTCTTAATGATTAAATTAACCAAGGGCATGTACTGGTATTTTGAATGTTTCATCATTCTCTGCCTTTTGCTTTATATATATAGATAATTAAGGATGTTTCAAATTGTACTTCGATATCTTTCAATCCTCCTCCTGCATAAATTAGAGTAGTTTAAACAATCATTTGCATCTTCCAACTATACTTCAATATCTTTCAATCCTCCTCTCGTGTAAATTAGAGTAGTTTAAACAATTATTAAGCACTCCTTATTCCCTCGGGTTAGTAGGGGCACCCCACACACTGAGTTAGAGGTGTCAAACGGACTGGGCCGGCACGAGCATGGCTGATTTAAGTAAGGCCCAACAAGACCAGTATCTTTGTGTGGGCCAGAACGGGGTAATTAGGCCCAATAAGCAGGACTGGCCCGTTTAAAGCCCATTTATTAAATATATTTATTTTAGAGAAAAATAATACATAATATTATTACATTTATATTTTAAATTCAAATCTATTTCTTTTCTCTAATAATATATATTAAAATTTAATGTTTTTCAAGTTTCAATTTCTAAAATCCAAACAATAATTTAGTCATTTGCTATTTAAATGTACTTTAAATAAAGTTATTGGCCTCTTTTTTCAACAAATAATAAATCTTATTTGTATGTACATAATTGTAAAAAGATTTAAACAAAGTTGTAAAAAGAATTATAATAAAAAAATGCAATATATAAGTCAAATTTGGCATGAGCCCATCTTAACCCGATTAGTGGTCCAACACCAACATGACCCAAATCCATATGGGCTAAGGCCGTAGACTTGGGGCGGGATTGATGATTTTCATAGTATGAATAATAGTCAAACAACACTCATTTTTGTTCTTACAAAAATCAAATCATTGCAGCAAATAGAAACAAATTGGCAAAAAACACAAACAATTAAACTAACCTCTAGCTTTTTCACTTCAATCTGCCCCCTCCCACACCCCAACAACCCATCCTCACAACTATCAATTTACTCAATCTCCCCAACTCTCATCCCGATCAAGGAAACCATTGATTTTAGGAAATATCATATGAACAAACAATGATGAACTCGGGAATTTTTATAGGGATAGGCAAAATTTTATTTTTTAACAAGAGATATATTATAAGTCTTTTTTCTCTTGAAACAAAAATGTAAATAAAATTTTATAAATCAAATAAAGCCACATTACGAGCAAATAACACAAAGAAGTACAAAATATAAATAAATATCAAATCAAACACATTGTTCAATTACTTAAGATCCGAGTTGAGTAAGTTCCTCAGGAATTGAAATATCAACATCAAATGCAGAAAGTGTATCCTTGTTATTGTTACCACTTTTTTTTTTAAGAATGAATAAATAGTTTTTGCTCTCCTTGTTGGTCTATTATCATCATGTGACATGATATCCTAACAAGAAATACTAAACACCAAAAATCATATATGCTAATAATAATTCAAGTTGCAAAAATAAAACATATATAACAATCTTCAAAAGTTTTCATCCAAGCCCTAGATCATAACAACTAACAACAACAATTAAAATTTGAAATTGAACATGAAAAAAAGAGAAAAACTTACCAAGATTGAAGAACCCACAGAAGATAGTTGGTACATTTTTTTTAGAGGGGGAGCGCTATTTCTTCTAGGCTCTAAAGGTTCAAATATGGCGTTTTGGGTGGCTAGAAGAAAAATTCAAATGTTTGCTTCTAATCAAATTTATATAGGTTATGCATTGCATGTTTACTATTTCCTATATGCTTCAAGAGTGGGCTTATTTCTACATACAGAGCTGAGCCTAATTTAAATAGAGGACTAGACTATTATTTACTTTACCTAAATTTGGCTTATACCACTAAGCCTGCAAAAAAAATCAGCATTGGGCTAAAGCCCACTCCAACCCAAGTGTAGATCCGCCCTTGTTAACAAACATGCAATATAAATTCAGGGCTTCTAAGCCTTCTACAAGTTATGAGTGGTAGTGGTATGTCATGGCTACCTACATTAAAGTACAAAAAAGACAAGTTGCAACTACAATGCAATACGATCTTTCTCTATTTTCTATGTACTTTTTAATTACATTAATATGATACAAAATTCATATTAAATCTCTAATGTGAATTTCTATGACTTATATGACTCATTGAGTATGATTCTAAATATTTTTTTTCTCAATCAAACACAATACTTAGAGATTCTCAAATTTTATCTTAGCCCTCTATGAATTAATCGAAGACCATGACAGTGTCTTAAGTTAGGTCCCCGATTTGTTTTATATTTTGCATTTGCAGTCAAATGACAATCTAGCTCTTTGACTGTTAATCATAGTTCACAAATGTTAAAAACAGGGATGTAAGTGTGAAAGTAAAACATATGGGTTTTGAGTGTAATTAGTCCAAACTTCAAGGAGCATAACTGAAATTCTCCATTTTCGTTCGTTTAATTGATAAATGGCCACATCACTTTTAGATGAGGTTTATTCGTTTCCATAAAAGTTTAATAATAATAAGTTCGACAAACCAAAAAAAAAGATAAAAAAGCTTAATAATAATAAAATAAAAATAGAGGGACAGAAAAGATTTGAAGTCACAAAAACGTGTAGACGCCCCAGACATCAAATTGGTAACGGACTAAAATTGCCTCCCGGCTGTCTGTCCAAAATTCCAAAGGGAGTTTCACTAAAACACCCAAAATGGAGGTTGAAATTATAAAAAAACCCAACACCCAAAACACTTTATAAACTCACCCAAAACCCATCATTACACACACTCAAAACCTATTTATAAACACACCCAAAAAGTTGACTTTGGGGTTGATTTTGGGTGTGTTTCTATGTTTAAATAGTACTTGGGTTTTTTTATAAATACATGTCTAGGATTGGGTTTATTTATAAATTTGTAAATTCGAAATTCCAACTGATTAACCAATCACCCCAAAACCCTAAATTCCCAATTCCTAGATTTCCGAATCTATTGGTGTATTTGGATCTCAGAGATGCGACGATCTTTGTTCTTCCTTCTTCTTTTTGCTCCGCTAATTGAATGTTTGTCCAGTCCTTCAGCCATCACTGCAGGCTCAGAGAGCTCAGAGAGCTCCCTCTCCAATCCACATTCCTGGGGTTCCAACCTCTTCAATTCTCTTTGGCCCAAACTGTAAGCTCAAGTCTGAATTTTTCGCTTAACTTTTCGATATTTATTGAATTCAAACTCATAAAGTTCACTCTTTGTTTTTGAATTGTGAAATTTGATACAGCGGAAATGATGTAGCTCTGCTGGTTACACTAGATGGGACGATGTATATGGTGAACACTACGACGGGGGAGATTCAGTGGGACGTCCCGTCTGGTGCCCCAATATATACTTCATATCAGGATGTCAATTATTTTAACAAGATTACGAGTGATGATTACTTTTTCATTGATGTTGGTGAAGACGGGGCGCTCTATAGCCATACCAGCAAAGGAAAAGAGGTATGGCAGCTTACTTTTTAGCCTTATTTTGATGTGATGCTTGTGTTTACAATTTTTATTTTTAATGTATTAGAATGTGCCTGTTCTGCATGTAGTGGATGTTCAATGTCTATTTTGAGGATTTCGGTCATCATTTTATTTTTTTGATCTCAGTCTGTGTTAAGATAATGTGGGTATCATTCATGGTCGGTGAACTGGATGGTTTTACATAACTGATGTCTGTGTTGTAATGATATCTTTATTGGGGTTGCATTGTTTATTCTGTTATGGTTCATCTTATGCCAGAAATTGTCATCGACTATTGAAGAATATATCGGACGCACTCCAATTTGGTCAAAGGATGGGGGAGTCACGTTGGGATCAAGGAGGACCACTGTGTTCCAAGTTGTTGCCCAGACCGGAAAACCAATTCATATATATAATTCGGCTGATACTCCTTCCAAGTTAGTAGTTCGGAGAACTAAAAGTGATGTGTCCCCAAAAGTGAAGGATGCTGACGAGTTGGTAGAGTCTGGTTCCAAGGGCTTGGAAACTGTTGAGCAGCCCCTTTCTATCGTGAGAACAGATTATGAAATCACACATCATTCTTCGGGCAAGGTTGTATGGAATGTGACATTTGCTGCATTTGATTCTTATCCCCTAGTTTCTAATACTGGAAAAGAGCTTGCTTTAAAGCACAGCAGGGATTCAGATTCAATATTGCCGTATCAAATGAAGACTATTATCCTCCTAACTCGCGATCCTAGATTGACAGAATCTCTTTCTGTATTAGCCAGACGAACTGATAGACATCCTGGAGGCAGTCTGGCCATCGAGCATAGGCTTCATGATAATCTTCCTGCGACTGTTCGACAGATTCCTCTGCCTCCTCGCAGTGATGAGGGCAGAGGAATTCTTGCCACATATCGTGAAACTGAGGACCCTGGCATCTTGGGTACCCATGTTAGAGGTGTTGGTCAAATGAATGCCACAACCAGAATGGCCGAAGCTGTAACGAAGTTACAATCTCTCTTTCTGTTTGTGCTCACACTTCTGTCCATTATGGTCTATGTCTTACGCCGTTATGTAACATTTGGAAAACAGCGTAAACTGAAAGAGATGGTTGAGGAAACTAAAGTGCAAACAGGGGTTCCAAAAAAGAAGAAAACTCGTCGATTGGGAAACAGTAAGAGGAATGTCATTGATGAGAAAAACACGAGCAATGTGTTGCATGAATATAAGGTTGGAGAATCAAAAGAATCTATACACAGTCAAAGAAGCAAAGACAAATTTCTCTTGACCTTTACTGATCATGTTGATGGTCAAATAGAGGGACGTAGAATTGGCAAGCTACTTGTTTTCAACGATGAAATTGCTAAGGGAAGTAATGGTACCATTGTACTTGAGGGAACCTATGATGGTCGTCCAGTAGCTGTTAAACGTCTAGTACGGGCTCATCATGATGTGGCTTTGAAAGAGGTTCAGAATCTTATTGCCTCTGATCAGCATCCAAATATTGTCCGTTGGTATGGGGTGGAGTATGATCAAGATTTCGTTTATCTATCCTTGGAGCGTTGTATATGTAGCTTAAATGATTTGATTTATTTTTACTCTGAGTCGATTCAAAGCCAAATCACCAAGGATCAAGAACCCCACTTTTTGACTGAGTATACTGTTCGATTGCATACGATAATGGAAAATAACAAGGGCATTGAATTGTGGAAGGCGAATGGGTACCCTTCACCCCAGTTGTTAAAATTAATGAGGTTAGTTTAATGCCTTCCAATAGCTTCTCTCTTCTTCTTTTTTTCCCCGTACAATCTGTTTTGCAATTATGGGCTAACCACTGTTTCTAATTTTGCACTCGGGCGGTCATACTAGTAACTTTTAGTGCAGGTGATATGACAGGTACCCTGTTGGGATTAAGATTACTTCTGTCAGGATCACCTTGAAGATAGCTAATCACTTTCTTTGTTTTATAGGAATTTTAGAGTGAAAATAACCATTCATTTTTAAAGGATTGTAGAAAACTTTGTTATAGAAACAATTCGTTTCAATGGATTTAATGTTTCATATTTCATCCTTTATGTCGGAAACTTATATAAGGGGACTCATGTTTGACTTATCTAAATGTATATTCTTGATTTCGTTTCCCCTTCAAGTGGGGTTTTAAGTGAGGGATTGAATTGTTTAGTTGCTTCCATTTTTTCAAAGAACATCTTAAATTTGATTTCCCTAATATAGAAGAAAAAACAAAATCTTGAAAAAAGTTGAATAAGGTACTTGAGAATTTGACAAGATCATTATTTTTGCAGTGATCTGGTTTCTGGGCTTGCTCATTTACATGAACTTGGAATTATACATCGGGACTTAAAGCCTCAGAATGTTTTGATAATAAAGGGCAGGTCTTTGCGTGCCAAGCTTTCAGATATGGGTATCAGCAAACGCCTACAAGGGGACAGGTCTTCCATAACCCAGCATGCTACTGGTAAGTATCTGGAACTGTTTGAAGTATTATGTTTATTAATTATGAGGCAGCATGTGCTTGTTATGGTTTAGGTCTAGGTGACGAAATGTGGTGAGTTTGAAAACAACCTGGAATCATGATCCAATGAGTTAACCATTTATTGATGTTTATTTGCTAGGCCTTTTGTTTACTTTATTACTGGTGTAGGTCAACTTTCTTACTGATCTGTTACCCCTACTGGTTTGTTTGTGTGCACTAACTAAACATCCTATTATTTTTCTTTATTGTTGTTGACTGCAGGTTATGGTAGCTCAGGATGGCAAGCACCTGAGCAACTTCGCCATCAGCGCCAAACACGTGCAGTGGATTTATTTAGTTTAGGGTGTGTTCTCTTTTTCTGTGTCACTGGGGGAAAACACCCTTATGGTGATAGTATCGAGCGTGATGTAAATATAGTAAATGACCAGAAAGACCTGTTCTTAGTAGATACTATACCAGAAGCTGTGGATCTTTTTAATCATCTCTTGGATCCCAACCCTGATATGAGGTAAAGTTCTTTATTGTCATCCATACAAATTTATAAGAATTTTTATTGGTTCTTTCACTATCTGTCAACTTAAAAGCTAGAGCTTTATGTCTAGTGCCCGGCCCCCTCCCTCCTACTTAGACACACGCACACACACACGTAGACACATGAACACACAGACGTATACAGCCATGTGTATCAGGATACCTTTTAGCTCTAATTGCTCATTCCCACTGAATTACTGATTTTCCAGGCCAACAGCCATGGATGTGTTGCATCATCCTTTTTTCTGGAGTTCTGAGACTAGACTTTCATTTCTTCGAGATGCTAGTGATCGAGTTGAATTGGAAGATAGGGAGAGTGAATCGGAACTCTTAAATGCATTAGAAGGTACTGCAGCAGTTGCTTTAAATGGGAAGTGGGATGAGAAGATGGAATCTGCATTTATCAATAACATTGGTCGCTACAGGCGTTACAAGTTTGATAGTGTTCGTGACTTATTGCGTGTCATACGGAACAAGTTAAACCATTACCGGGAACTTCCTCAAGACATTCAGGAAATACTGGGGCCAGTTCCTGAGGGCTTTAACAGTTATTTTTCAAGTCGATTTCCAAAACTTTTAATCGAGGTTTATAAAGTGTTGTACAGGTACTGCAAAGAGGAAGAATTCTTCTGTAAGTATATGAAAAGCAATCTACTATAACTGCCCCCCACCCGGCCTGTCTTAGCCACCTCACTTTCTTGACCTGTTTCAACGAATTAATTTAACTTTTGTAATTGCAAATGTATTATATATGTACAAACAGTGATAGTGCAAAAGTGAATGAAGAATCTACATGTTATAGTGTTTCATTGATAAGAGAGACTTGCAAGTATAAAGCATGAAGCAAAAGTCATGAACCTCTCTCTCTCTCCTCTCTGTGTATGCATAATTATGTCAGCCAATACTATCAAACCCAAACGGAATTGGTGTGAATCAAATTAAATCTCACTATGGAATCAGTCAAGCTCACGCATTTGGGGGAGCCTGCGGCAAAGATTCTTTCTTTTTTATTTTTAAGTTTTTTCTGTGATTTCTGTACCACTTTCTGTTTCTTTCATGCTACCCTTTCCTACCACATGTACAGTACCAACTCTCCAGCATCCTGGGTTTAAATGACCAAATTGACCCTACTTAATCATTCATCACTATTAAAATGGTGGGTAAATATTGTAATTTGATAAAGCAGACCAGCGACAGACATTTTCCACTAGAGTAGAAAGTAGAAAGTGCCAACTCTCCTTTGAAGGCTTAAACAAAATCTCATTAGCTATATAGCAGCCCTCAAACACAAAGTTGAACTTACTTCAATCACCATGGCCACCACCACCCTCCCACTCCTCCTTTTAGTAATTGTAAGCTCGTTCCAAAATGCGGTGGTTTCTGGTGTGGGTATAAACTACGGGACTCTCGGAAACAACCTGCCACCACCAAAGAGAGTAGCTCAGCTCCTGCAGGCCACTCTCATAGACAAGGTCAAAATCTATGACAGCAACCCCGAAATCCTCCAGGCCTTTTCCAACACAGGCATCGACCTAATCGTCGCCGTCGAGAACAGCCATGTCTCCAACATCAGCACCGACGTGGCTGCCGCGGACGAGTGGTTTGCCACTCGTGTCCTGCCCTTCATTCCTGCCACTTCCATCACAGCCATTGCTGTAGGAAATGAATACTTAACCACAACAACAGCTGCTACAAAAAGTGACAAAGATCCCCAAGTGGACCCTACAGCTCTGGTCCAGGCAATGCAGAACTTGCACGCAGTGCTCATAGCCCGAGGGCTGGACCGCAAGATCAAGGTCACCACCCCACACAGCATGGCCGTTCTAGCATCCTCATTTCCTCCTTCATCCTCAACTTTTGCCACAAATCTTGTGCCAACTATGACCTCCATAGCTGCCTTCTTGGCGGACACTGGCGCCCCTTTTATGGTCAATGCCTACCCTTACTTCGCATACCGGGACAACCCCGACATGGTCAATCTACAATACGCATTGCTAGGGAACTCAACCTCAAACGGTGTGCGTGACCCGAAAGGGTACACGTACACCAACATGCTGGATGCTCAGATTGATGCCGTTCGAGCTGCCATTGATGCACTTGGACTTGGACACCGGACCGTGGAGATCATGGTGTCCGAATCCGGGTGGCCATCCAAGGGTGACACCGGGGATATAGCCGCTACGCCGGAAAATGCCAAGACTTATAACACTAGGTTGATTGAGCGTGCCCAGTCTAACAAAGGGACACCCATGAAGCCTAATGACAAGGTTGAGGTATTTGTGTTTGCTTTGTTTAATGAGAACAAGAAGGAAGGGGGCGCGACAGAGAGAAATTTTGGGATTTTTAACGGGGACGGTTCGAAGGTGTATGAAGTGGATTTGAGCTGCAAATTTTGCAGCAACGATGGCAACGGAAATGGAGGAGGATTTGGGTTTGGTGAGAAAGTATCGGGTGTGGCAAGGGGTCCATCTGTTTGGTGTGTTGCTAAGCCCCATGCTGATGAGAAGGTGCTTCAAGCTGTGTTGGATTTTTGCTGTGGAGGTGGTGGTGTGGATTGCAGAGAGATCTATGAGAACGGTGATTGTTTTGAGCCTCAGAAGCTTCTTGCTCATGCATCTTATGCTATGAATGCCTACTATCAGATGCATGGCAGAAATTACTGGAATTGTGACTTCAAGGGCACTGGCTTAGTTACTTTCAGTGATCCAAGTAAGTATAATTAATAAATCCTAGAGAGATTTCCCATTAATTCACACTTCATACAATTTTGATATTGTTCAACTAATCTTTTCACCCAAAAAAGAAAAAGAACATATTTAGCTAATCTTTTTACCAAAAGTATACATTGTTTAACTAAACTAGCTCACATTCCCACCCAAGTAAACCTTGGTTTGATTACGTAGAAGACAATCTTGAGGCAACCCAATATAATACTCCCCTCTTCCCCTCCCTATAGCGAATGAAAAAAACTAAACTTGCTCACCCAATTGGCCTGACATACATGTTAAGTTGTTGATTGTTCTGACTCTGTAAACAATTATTGTTTATGGTTATGCCTAATCTAATCTGAAATGTGATTGTTATTAACGTTGTGATCTGTTTTTGCAATTTGTGATCAGCTTATGGGAGATGCCGGTATCCTCAACAGTAAATCAGCAGGAAGGAATGACAGAGGGCATAATCAATGTGGTTGACAGCTAGCTCTTCACTCTTGAGTATTGGTATTTCTGAAGTTAGGGCTTAAGATTTATTGGTCACATCCCGATGTAAAAGAAGAAAACAAGAAAAGTTTGATTTGAAGGTTGTTCTGCAGGATTTTAAATTTTAGGCTGGTTTTATCCTGAAAAAGGAGTCTTTTTCTTTGGTTGCACATGGTTAAAAGTAAGATGTCTCCACAATCAAAGGCTTTTTTGTTTGACAAAAGTACTACCTCTTTTCTGATATGGAATCTTTTTACTGTGAACCTTTGAAAAGTACAAAATACAAAATAAAATACAAGAAAGCAATGCATCCTGACCTGAGACAATTTGAACAAAAAGGGCCCATTTAGGCACTGTTAATTTCAAAGAAATGAGTGAGTATTTATGAGAAACTCAGAGCGTGACCCGCGTGGTTTCTGTTCGCGTGGTTTCTGTTTGTAATTGAATATTTTCCGTATCATAAAAAAAGAAAAAAGAAACATGCAGCTATGGCCTATGAGAAATATGGAAGAGAAATGCAGTATGATTGTGTGCATTCGGATGAGTAGGAGATGAATACAGTGAAGATGACTAGGAGATCATTTTTCTATCTGGCATTTGGATTTCTTCACAAGACAATATTGCTCTGAATACTGATCTGGAGACGGCGAGTTAATTGAGTTATGTGGTTGGTTTTATTTTTATTTTTAGAAAAGGTGGTAATCATTAGATAATCAAATCGTTACAAGATGAACAGCACGTAATAGGTGGCCTTGTTTATGACAATTTATGACATTTTACCCTGTAATGATGCTGATGATTCAAACCAATTATAGGAATTCTAGCTATCCTAACAATACAAACACCTTATAAATGGCATGCGTAAAATGCAAGTTTATTCTGACAGTATATAAAAACAAGCCATCTTCTGGCCTATGAAGATTTTGAACTTTTCTTTCTCTGCCCTTCGGTTCTAGATCAGGATGTTCAACTTAATAACAAGAAGGTTTGAAAACAGAAAATCAAAGCTATAGAGGACATCAGATATAAAGAAATACACGCTTCAATTTTGACTCCGAAAATAACACATAAAACAACAATAATGATGATGGGGAGATGAGGCAGAAGAATATGTACTCAATATTAGCTTGACATTGGCATCCGAATTCCTTATTAGTGAATAATTATGGATAGAACATAAGTTCCTAGAATATAAAGTATATACATATAGATGATTCAAAATAATAGTAATGCTAAGGTAAGGTTAAATGAGGACTTACATGCATTGATACAATTATGATGATCTAATGAGAGTTAATTGTTGGAGTTAATTTCGCTCCTGTTAGTCATTTCTGTTTGTTTCTTTTCGGGATTCCGCCCCAACTTGTCATCTTTATCATTGTCGGAAAACGATCTAACTATTTTCTTTCTTTTACTTCCACTATTGGAGGGGTCTTTCTTCTCATCAATTAATGATAAAAATCTCCGGAGTTGCCTAGATCGTGAGCTACCTGGACTAGTTGAAACACATGGTGTTGGGTCAGCATGGCGTAGCTTGTTCAGAATTTGCAAAAAATATATGAAGAGAGCAACGAAGCAAGCTATTCCACATATGAGAAAGAGGCCCCAAAAACTTTTAAGGTGAAGCCGGTCTGACTCAAGTTCAGTGCTCTCTAAAGTGCAAGAGCTTTGCCTCAGCCACTTATCATAGATCCGCTGCAAATCACCATTCTCTGATAGTTGTAGAAGTGCAGTTGACATGTCAACAGCTAAAGGAGAGTCGCGTGGAAATGCCTATCATGGCAAAGAAAATAAAGACAGGTCATAATTTTGTATTTCTCGTATACATTAGGCTAACATCTAAAAGAATCTCAGAATATGAATGTTCCAAGAAATATACTCACAAAACCCCAACCGCTTTTGGTGAACTCTTGACCTATAACCCTAAATTTGCACTGCGATGAGAGGAAGACTTCAACATAAAGACGCTCATCAACCACAGCAGCAACACCTCCTGCCTTTTTAGGACCAAGCTGGAGCGCCTGCGCATATGCTTGAGGAGACCCAAGGGGAATAAGCCTGGATTTGGATATGCCAAGTTCCTCACTCAAATAATGTTCAGCAAAGGAACCCACTTGATACCCAATTGGCTCATCACTATTTTTCAAGCTTTCAATTCCTTTAATTGGAGAAGATAGGTGCTGCACTGTAAGAATTGATGTCAGACTGGCAGTGTAACTTGAGTTGATTATCAAAACCACAAAGAGCCATATGATGAGAACTAGACGACCAAGGGTGCTCACAGTGTTCTCTCCTGGTGGAAGGGGCGGAGAAGCAAGTAAGTTAAATGAATATTGTTTCAATAAGTCCACAAAAGCCAGATTTTATGAGGAAAGAAGCTGAGTCTCACTTACTATGGGCAAAGAACAGAGTTGAGATGCTAAACCTGCAAGGTTGACAAACAAGAAAACAAATCAGAAACCAATATTTTGGAAATATAGGAAGATGTCATGTGGACCTAGATGCTAAGTAACCTTAGGAACCTAAAGAAACACATCACATTCTAGAGCCCTTGAGGGACTTCAGGTGAAATAAGTCTTATTCATTAAGCACCACAGCATGCTCTAGACAGATTCGCAATAGTGGCAGGAGACCAAAACCATACACACAGGATTCTTACAATAAGAAGCACAACGTATCACCCTGACCAAATAGAAGAATGGTCGATGAAAGAGGAAATTAGTCACAATTGGACATGTTTCTGCTCTCATTACTTTTCACACAGCTCTGCTTGAAGACAGATTGTCCTTATCCTTCTTAAATTTTAAAAATAACATTTACAGAAATTAATTTCTTTTCCTGAAGGCTTCCTCTGTTATGTCCTTGCTTTTGAGGAGCACTATGTTGAACAATCTAATCAAAGATTTCCATGCAAAAGTTTCAACAAGGACACATTTTCAAACAAGCTCTAAGGGGAAAAAAAAAATTTCTGGGTAATCAATTCTTAAAGTATATAAGGTATTTGATCACGACCAATGACCTGTTGATATATCTGCCTATTTTCTATCAGAAAGTGTCACTGCGATCCCATTGTAACCTAGATGAAAAGCATTCCTTTGCTACCTAAGACTGGCACTACACCACTACTTAGAGCACTACTATCTTTATGGTTCTCTGAGACATTTTGAAAAAGAAAGTCGAGAAATATAAACAAGATACATGGACAAGGTAAGTGATGACCTGATGTTTGTTTTCAAGCCAAAATTAATGATTTTGGCACACTTTCTCTGTCTCTTGGATAACTATCACTATACTGCTGCTTAGAGCACTGCTAACATCATGGTAATCTATTTGTATTCAAGCCAAAATTAATGATTTTGGAGCACGTTCTCTGTCACCTGGACAACTCTTACTATACTGCTGCTTAGAGCACTACTATCATCATGGTTATCTATAACTTATAACTTATTATGAAAAGAAAGTTGAGAAATTTAAATAAAATGTGGACAAAAGTAGTTGAGGTTTATTTTCAAGCTCAAAACGATCATTCTGGAGCACCTTCTTTGTCAGTTGAGTGCAGGGTGTTACAGTGCTGATCACATTGTTAAGCAAAGGATAAACTAACTAGGTAATCAGTTGGTGCAAGTTGGTTAAAAAGAAAAATAGTTTGTACAAGTTAGTAAATATCCTGATAAGATACTTTAACTATAGAACTTACCACAAGATGGTTATAAGTTGCTTTTTAGGTGGACCCCTGAATTCATCATTTATCCTATGCTCCAAAATCCACACAACTATACCAATAACAAGAAAGGAAGCAGCAGTGACAACCCACATACGTGCAGTAAATGGCCGAAGGAAAGCCCAAGCACTAGAGTTCAATTTTTTAAATGGAGCCACTACAACAAGTCCAGAGGCAGCATATGGCTGTGAAAAATCCACAATCTTTGTTCGATTTGTAACAATAGCAATGTCACCAACAGCAGCATCAAAGACCTGCAAACAGTAAATGAGAGAATTAGCCAACGAATGTGCACATATACACATGCACATATTGGCAAATCAAATTTGTCTTTTATGACATGAATTTCAAATATTGAATCTATGATAGATTTACTCACACCCGTTGCGACAGAATACACAAGCTCGTTGTAGCTTGGGTTTTTCTGACCATCTCCAAAAGGGATAAATCGGTATGGAACAGCATATGGTAACAAGTTTACGGCAGCAATGAATACATCTATGCAGAAACCCTTGAACATATTATCAGTTCCCCGAACCTGTGATACAAATTCCCGGTAACTGACCCGAATAGGCACACCAATTCTTAGTTGCTTCCCATTGTTTGGGAAAACCCAACCACGGGGCTTTGACAATGTCTCCCCTGGCCAGATAACGCTGTATAATTGTTGGTTTGCACTGGAACGATTAGGTGGCTTTGAATAGAGCATCTCAGGGGGAACAGTTGATAAACCAGAATAGTTACACCAGTAACCAATTCGTCGAAACCCAGTACCAAGAACATTAATAATATCATATGCTGGAAGAACAAGAGACCTCTCTGAATCAAACTTAATAGGACCTGTCAAACCAAGAAAAGTACTTTGCAACACGTTTTTCAACAGGAGCGGTCCATCATCAAAAATGCTCATTGCTTCAAGGTGAAGACTACCACCTTTTTCTACAGACTTTATCCTAGAATCATTAGAGAATGAAATGATCCCACCCTGGTTAAAAAATGCATCAAGAGCATGAGCAACCAGCCAAACAGAATCATAAGCATAAAGCCCATAAGAATGCAGTCCCAAAGAACCACCAGTCAGCTTGTTCCACTTGGAGAAAAAGGTCCTCTTTCTATCTGAATCTGGGGTGTGTTGGCGCAAAACAAGAACTCCTTGCAATGTATCCATGGTCTCAGAAGGAAGAGGCAAAGCAGAATCTAAAAGAGATGACAGCCAATCTGTAGCTATCCATACAAATCCATCACCCATCATTTGAAGATAATGTGCCACAGAGAGAATCATGAGACCTGAATCAGGATTCACATGAAGAACTATAACTCGAGATTCCAATTGTGCGACATTAACAAGAAGATCCATGATGTCGCCCCGGGTAGCTCCAGGTCCCGGGGGAATTCCCAACTTGTAGGAAATTCTACAGCGCCTCTCTGCAAGTTTATCATCTAAAGCTGACATGCCATTACGTCCATAATCATCATCTATAAAAATGGCAATAACCTCCTTCCAACCATAATGATCAACAATTTGCGCCACTGCACTCATTTGATACAAATCACTATGTGTTGTCCTAACAAAAAAGGGGAACTGAAGGGATGAGAGAGTTGGGTCTGTGGCTGCAAATGACAATAGAGGAACTTGGAGTTCATTTGCAACATGGGATATGATATGGGCAACTACAGAAGATTGTGGGCCTATAATGGCGACAATATCAGTCTCCATGAATTGCAAAGCTGTAAATTAACAAAATTGTCAGCATAACTATATACGATTCATGGACTTTCGACCAAAACAGAATTCTTGACCATTATAATAAAAGGAAACCAAACGAACAACCAACCCAAAAATCAAGGGTAAGCAATAGAAGATAAAGTACCTTGAACCATTCCACCAAACCCACTGCAATTGGAATTCCGCATTTTTACAGCGAGTTTGGTCCCATGGAGAACGCTGAAATTGGAGTTGACATCTTTCACTGCTTCCTCAATAGCAAGCTTGGCAACTTTACCAATAGTAGAATCAAAGGTGAAAATAGCTCCAATATTAACAACCGCAGGTCTCGAAGAAACATTGTTGCTGGACGCACATGAGAACACCCCAAGATACAGAAACAGCAATAGAAAAAACCAAATCAAATTCATCTTGAATGACCAACACAACATCATCCTCTCTGTCCCCAAAAGATGATTCTGACCTCGGTCACTATTGGTATGAAGAATTACCCAGTAGAAGAGCTCTGAGTAAGATGAGCCTCAGCCCAATAGAGCTCTGAGTAAGATGAACCAAGGAATTGTCCTTCAACACTCCCATAATTTCATTTCTTATTGGGTTGTCTCATTCTCAACAGCCAACCCCAGATGCAATGCCAAAACAGTGAGACCACCCACCCAAATCAGAATTTTTGCTAAAAACAGAACCTAAAATTCAATCTGAAGTAATTGGCTGAGGGCACTCTGCTTTGCCCAGCTGTTAGCTGCAAGTATATAAACAAAGGCTCGTCCGTGAAGACAAGTATTTTTTTTCTTGATCTGCCAAGTTACCAAAAGAAGAAAGTAGAGGTTCAACATGCAGACCGACATAGTGTGACAAAGGCACCTTTGAAAAGCGACATCAATAGTACTGGTCTGGACTCTGGATCAATCAAGGAATTTCCTTTCTGAAGAAAGGGTAGCTACATGGGTTTGGAAAAGGCCCATCAATAAGAGCATTGGCAGCAAGGGGCCCAAGGGGAGGGTTGGGAGGGAGCAAACCCAAAATGTGGTTTCCAGCAACAAGAAGCTGCCAGGGCAAGCAGTGGGGCCCACAAACCTGGGCAAGCCTGAGGGGGAGGCTGGCACGAGCTCCAGCCCGCGGGCTGGGATGACGTCAGTGCTGCTGTTTAAATTTTTTTAAAGCTGGTGAGTGCAATGCACGCGCCCGGTTTTAAAAAAATTTGACGCGCGCTACATTAGCCGCCCAACGACATGATTCCACGTGTCGCATGCTGGGCCATCCGATCTGCTTTTTAAAATTATCCAACGGCATCCATTTTTTTCGCGAATAAAAAAATCAAAAAAGCAACCCCCAACAGCTCTATGCCACGTGGAAGCTCCTGGGCTCTCCGATTAGTTTTTTCCAGCAATCCAACGGCATGCAATTTTTTGCCCAATAAAAAAATGAAAAAAAAATCGGAAAAATTTTTAAAAACATACGAAAAAAATACTGAATTTTTTTTTCTATAAATACCAACCAATAATGACTTTTAACCCAAAAATCTTATCCGAAAATATTATCCAAATTAATTGTTTAAGTAAACAAAGTTGTGAAAAAAACAAAAAAATGAATAGTATGCAGGCAAGCCTTGCATTGCTGGAAACACATTTTTTTTGTGTGCTAGGGCAGCCACTATTCACGTGAATAGTACCCGCCCTAGGGCTCCCCTTGCCATGGCAAGGGGCTAACTGGTGGAAGTGCTCTAAGTACACAATTTTAAGAAAAAAGAAAGAGGGAATAAAAATTAACCGACAAACGGAATTCACGTGGGGCTATGGGAAAGTGCTAATTTTCACTTGTGTAAAGAGAAAGTAACACAATTTTCACTTGTTTGTTGTAGGTTTAGGGATTTTGGTGGCGTTTGAAAGTGTGGTGTTTAAAAAATAGAGGCAGTTTAAAATAAAATTTGTCCAACTAAAAGTAAGGGTGGGCACTCAAATCGGCGAATCGGAAATCCGAGTCGAACCGCATCAAATCAAACCGGAAAAAACCGAGTTGACCAAAAAGTCAACAATCGGTCAAAAACCGAACCGGACCAGTTTGTATTGGTTTTGGATTCGATTCCATGTCTTCAAAAACCGGACCAGGCTGAACTGAACCGGTCAAATTAAAAAATTTATAATTTCAATATATATTTATATTTAATGCTATATTTTTAATTTAACAAAAAAAAAACTAATATTTATCCAAGTTCAAATTCAAAATATCTCTCTTTTCTAACTTTAATATTTATTTTTATATGAAATTGAATAATTTGTTAATTTTCAAGTAAAAATAATAATATTTCAGTTGAGAATTGTATTAAAAAAATAATTTTTATACTCCGATTCAAAACCGAACAGGACAGTTTTTGAATTTTTTATTTATTAAAACCGAACTGAACCAAACCGGATGAATAGTATTGGATCGGTTCTAATTTGAGGCAAAAACCAATCCAACCCGAACCATGCCCACCCCTAACTAAAAGTGTTTGATTAACCCAAAAAAAACTAACTTATTTTCAAAACACTTCTCATAAAAAGCGATTTTTGAAAGTGGCCATAAGCCAGAGGTGGGAGCATGGTACAGTTTAAAATATTCTATTTAAATAGTATAGCCGAACGACTATACTTTTAACATATTCTATTTATAGAGTATAGCTGGCCGGCTATACGTTTAGAATATTCTATTTATATTTGGCTATACTCTTTAACACATTCCATTTATAGAGTCCAGCCACGCGGCTATAATGTGCTGAAGATGGAGAAACATAGAAAATAGAGAGTAAGAGAAATAGAGAAACTATAAAACTGAAACAGCACTTCGATTCATCACCGTATATTGACATTCTTAATCAAAGTAGCGATACTAAAACCCAAAACCAAAGGGTGGAATAGTTCTACAGTTAGTGGAATTGGGAAGGCAATGGGTGGTTCCCGAGAGGATAAGTCTGTGTCGAAACTTCTCTAGGTTAACTGTTGTTGTTCGGAAATCTTCTTTACAAGTTAAATCCTTGAACACACTCACTCATATTGTTAATGGCCTAGGCGGTTGCTAGGGGGTCACTAGGCGGTCTAGGTAGTCGCTAGGCAATCTAGGCAGGCGGTAGCGCCTAGAAAAAAAATAGCCATTTTGGAATCTCCAAGGTCAGGGACGAGATGACAATGGTGCTATGAGAGAGAGATGAGGATTGACGAAGAGAGGTTGCCGGTTATGTCTGAGCAAGAGAGAGGGGCTAGAAGATGGCTCGTGTTCGAATGAATTCAAGGAGATCCATTCTATCTCTTAGGGGGTTGTATTCAATTAAGATTTTAAAAGAGTTAAAAGGAGTTATAAAGTTTAGAGTTCAATAAATTTCAATTGATTTCTATAAACTTCACATAGAGTTTGATTGAATTCCTAGATTGATTTTAATGGTGTTTGTTAGAGTTTTATCATATATTTTAAAAGAGTTTATTACAGTTCTAATTAGTTCATAAGAAAAAAATATATACATGAAGATAATTTTTTCCTTTTTGTTTTGGCATGGACTAGATATATATAGATATGGTAAAAAAGGAAATCGATAAGAAGAAAAAAAAAAAAAAAAAAAAAAAAAAAAAAAAAGAAAGGAAGGAGGAAGAAAAAAAAGAAAGTTAAAGAAAAGAAGAGAAATTAAACAACACTACTTTTGATGTACAGCAACAAATATGTTGATGTTCATCTATATATGATGATGGCAACAAGAAGTATTCAAGCAGCAACTATTCATATTATAATGTACATCGATATATATATGCTACTGTTCATCTTTATAGCGTATAGAGTATCACCGCACGGCTATACCTTTAATATATTCTATAGTGTACCACGCGGCTACACTATTTAATAATTATATTTATGTGGCAATTTCCGAATAATGCAAAGGATTCCAAAATTATAAAACATTGCTCAAATGCCCAAGAATCATATCCATACTGAATTTGGTTTTATCTCAGCAGCAAAGTGAAGATCATACATGAAATGAAACAAAACATGAAATATCACCACATAAAACTAACAAGAACAGTAGAATCATTCTCAATACATTGTTAACTGCCTATTTAACTAAGGATGTTCATTTTTTTTTTCCCAAAAAAAAGACTAATGATATTCCTTTGCACTGTCAAGGGCCAGCTTCTCAATTTCTCTTTCAGGTTGCCTTTTTGATCCAAAGATGAAGTCTTTCACACAACCTTCAGCAGACTCTGTCGCCCTCTTAATCTGCCATCACAACTTTGTGCCATTAGCCTTCGAAACATTTAACGTACATCAAGTATAGAAATTATTCAACAAAACCGATATCTATCAAAAAAACCCATGACAATGGCCAATTACCAATGAATAAATTGAAAGTTTTCTAAGACAAAGGAAAAAGGAACATGAACACAGAAGAATCTCGGCTCAGCTAAAGGCATCCTGCCTTATAATATAGATGGTGAGACAAAACATGTTTTACGATAAACATTCTAGTCTTGAACTACCTAATAATACCTCAGCACTAATCTTTGCCATAATCTGTTTCAAAGGCCAAGATGCTATCCTTACAGACAGAAACAACAAATTTTTAAAAAAGACAATCAACAGCACCTCTAGCAGGCAAGGTACTTTGCAATAACAAAATCCTTTCATGTCTGCACCTATTTCTAAATTCTAACTCGGAAAATTTGTCACTGTTCCATTGAGCATCATATAGTTCTAGTTTCATGAACACTCCTACAAGCAGTCCACAACACAAACTGGTTCACATTATCATTTTGATAATGAGATATGGCAACAGGAGAGACGTCGTATAACAAAATCAGTTCAAATCACATAACCCAAATTTGGTCCACAACTAGCAACTCAAGTTCAAGCCCAAAATCTAAAGATCCCAAAATTTTGAACTAAAAGTGCAAACAAGAAGAGAAAATTGTAACCCCAAGACTAATTTTCATTTTCTCCCCACCATTTCTTAACAAGATCCAGTAGTAATTTTACAGAAAGAAATCACCTGAAGAACAAAGAACATACAGGGTCGAGAGCATTGGGCTCAAAGCCATAATCAGCTGCCAAAGAGTAAAAGTACAGACTTCGACACTTCAAATCTGAACTTGAGGGTCGAGGTCTTTTAAGAGTCATTATATATAGTTCTTTTTGCCCCTATCTATATATTGAGAGGAAAACAAATCTGAACTTGTCTTAACCACTTGAGCTACAAGCCTTTTGAATATATATTGTTTCTCACATTACTTATTTCCCCAAATCACAATTTGGCACATTTGTAAAAATAATTTTATCAACAACACAAAGAAAAATATTTGCACACCTATCAAACTGAATTTGGCAGGAAAATAGGAGGCAAATTCCCACCATAAAAGCTTGAAATACTTAGTGAAATAATTGGTAAGCAGAACAACAGCCATGTTGCATTAGGTTCCAAAATGCCTATAGACCATTTACTATTCAAAACCAGATATTAAGAAACTGAAAAGGAAAATGTAGGGGTTGTATATCTCAGTAGCATACTAGCAAATCACGTTAATGAATCACAAAACTGCAGCTCAATCAGCTCAATCAGCTAGTTTCCCTCCGGCATTCATGGGTAAAGAGAAATCTCATATACCTGTAATGCATCATGTATGCTGCTGCCACTGGTTTGACTCAAAAGGAAGCGGAGCGGGTGAGCCTTGGCTTGGCTATCTTCTTGTCCTCTTCAAGAGGGATTAGTGAAAGATTGGCTGGGTTCTCGATCATCAGTTTAGCTACCAGATATCCTGAGATGCTCCAGGTCTGGTACTTCCTCGCTTGCTTCCTGACATATCTCCTTGCCTTGCCGTCATAGTATTCTGGCCACCCGTCTTTTGAGAGCCGCTGCTCCACCTCTTCAATTGCTCTCTTAGCAGTCTGAGGCCTCCCTGTCTTGATACATGCTGCAGTAAACAACCACAGCAGTGCTACAAGACAGATGCAACAACATTAACCAATTGTTTTAGAACAAACACATAAGTCAGAATTCTGTGAACAAGCATCAAAATATCATGAATAGCACAACCATTTGGCACGCTTTCCCAAATTACGTTCAGAAATGTATCCCACAACATTTATATACCCGAAGATTTCGATTGGAAAAGTGGTTACAATCAGCAAATAAAGATGTTTAAAATAAAAGATACTATGTCAGGTAAGTAGTGCTTGTAGCCTAGTTTACTAAATAAAAACAATAACTAGCCTACTCACATAAAGTGGGTACTAATGTACATGAAATGTAATTGAAAGGTCTCAGTCAAATAGAACTAGCACTAGGCTTCAAGTAGAAAAATAGAACTGCAAATTGTAATATCAAGCAAATAGACACAGGGGACATTATCCGAAAGATTTACAAATCAACGGAAACTAACAAAACCAGCCTTGAGCCACCGATATTTAAGCAAAAACCTTTATACTTTAATGGTGAAAATGACTACGAGAGGTGCTAAAATGAATAAACATAGCACGTAACAGAGACAAATCAAAACAAGACATGAACAAAAGGGACAGAAAAGATAAAGAGCTAATGCAAATAGCACATTGTGATAACACCATCTCCATGAGACTTACTTGGCCAAGAGCCACCATTGTGATAACTCCATGAAACTTCTCTAGGTTATATGTTGTTGTTCGGAAATCTTCTTTACAAGTTAAATCCATGAACACACTCACTCATATTGTTAATATTACGGAAGAAATGGCCTAGGCGGGCGCTAGGCTGGCTAGGCTGGGGCTAGGCAGTCTAGGCGGTTGCTAGGCGGTCACTAGGCGGGCACTAAGCGGGCTAGGCGGTTGCTAGGCCGTCTAGGCGGGCGCTAGGCTGGGGCTAGGCTGGCTAGGCGGGAGCTAGGCGGTCTAAGCGGTCTAGGTGGTCACTAGGCGGGCGCTAGGCGGTCTAGGCGGTTGCTAGGCGGTCTAGGCGGGCGCTAGGCGGTCTAGGCGGGCACTAGGCGGCTAGGCTAGGGCTAGGCGGGGTAGGCGGTCTCTAGGTGGTTGCTAGGCGGTCACTAGGCAGCCGCTAGGATCATCAATGGTGAAAAAGTTGAAACGCGGTGTATTGGTAGGGAAAATAGGAGGGCTTTGTAGCACGCCACCGCCAATTTGGAGACTTGACGAGTGTTACTATCAGCAAGACAACAACAACAAGCCCTGCTCTGAATTTCTCCCGCAACTCTTCAGAATTCCATCCAGTTTTGGGATCAGACAATAATTCTTCGGAATTTGACGACGATGATGACAATACGAAGAAGATGGTGGTGGCTGGGAGCGTGGTACAGTTTAAAATATTCTATTTAAATAGTATAGCCGAACGGCTATACTGTTGACACATTCTTCGGACTGCTATACGTTTGGAATATTCTGTTCATATTCGGCTATCCTGTTTTGACATTCCACTTATAGAGTCCAGCCGCGCGGCTAGACTATTAGATATTCTATTTATGGAGTATTGCCGCACAGCTATACTATTCGATATTCTATTTATATTGTATAGCCGGGCGGCTATACGTTTAACATATTCTATTCCTTTGTCCATCTGAGAGTTTAGTCCAACCAAATTCTCTCTCTCCCTCTCTCTCTCTCTCAAATACCAAGAAAATGGCGAAAGGCGAACGCAGGGTGTTGTTGATATTGGGGGAGTACGTGGAAGACTACGAGGCGATGGTTCCATTTTAAGCACTGCAGGCATATGGAGTGTCCGTTGATGCCGTCTGTCCTGGCAAGAAAGCTGGTGATATCTGTCGCACAGCCATTCATCAACTTTCTCCTGCTCACCAGGTCACCCACCTCTGCTTCTTTTTCCTTTTTCTATTTTTAATGAAAATCGTTTTCTTTAGCCTCATTACATCACTTGAGCACTGTCAATTGGTCTTTTCCATGCTCTGTAATTAAGCACACTCAATTAGATTGAAGACTGAATGCTTACTTCACTTGAATTTGTCAACCCAAAACAAGAAATTTGTCTCAAAGATTGAAGTGCTTAAAATTCTCACATATGGGATTATGTTGCCTCCTCTAAAATTTGGAATCTGTTGGGACTGGAAATTAGTTTGTCAAGTTTACGAACGAACGTCACGCTTTCAACTTTAGTTTTTTGCATCAGCCAATCTTTGGTAGCCTTAATTATAGACAAAATGAATAAGTTTTATTGTTGAGTAGAGCCACTCTATTAGATTGACAAATAGCAACCCGTAGGTTATAGTTCTAGGTTGTGTGGACAGCGAGACTAAAGTAAGCTCAAACAAGAACGCATGTTAGGAGTTTTGTTAGAGTGCTTGCTCATTCATTATGAGCTAGAGAACCAACCTGTATTGAGCTTGAGTTCTGGGGACAAGACAGCGTGAACAAATTCTTGGCTCCAACGTCACTGCGTACACCATATTCAATAAACAAAATTGCATTAGTGCCCTCGTCTCTAAGTGAAAATAATCTGATAATGGGCTACCTAGGTTCGCTGAATCGTGATCTGTGTTTAATTTACAAATCTTCAAATGCTACATGTCTTTCTGGTCCCCCTTTGTTTTAATATGTTTTTTGGTTTTCTGTATTTTTTTTTCTTTGGTTGCAGACTTATTCTGAATCACGTGGTCACAATTTCGCACTCAATGCAACATTTGATGACATTGAATTTAACAAATATGATGGATTAATAATACCAGGAGGACGGGCACCTGAATATCTTGCTATGGATGCGTCGGTTTTAGAATTGGTGAGAAAGTTTCTGACTCCTGAAAGCCAATTGCTTCGGTTTGCCATGGGCAACTTGTCCTAGCAGCTGCAGGCTCGGTTAAAGGTAGGAAGTGTACGGCCTTCCCAGCTGTCAGACCTGTACTTGTTGCTGCAGGTGCTTATTGGGTGGAACCCGAGACCTTGTTGGCGTGTGTTGTTGATGGTAATATGATTACTGGGGCTACACATGAAGGCCATCCTGAGTTATTTAGGCTTTTTGTGAAGGCGCTAGGAGGTAACATAACTGGTTCAGACAGGATGGGGTAAGTTTTATTTTCCTTCGTAGTGCAATGAGAAATATGAAATTGTGATGCCGATCAATATTGAGTATATATAGTATTGAGATTTGCCCTTTTACAGATACTTCTGAAAGATAGTGAAAATAACCTTAATAGGCTTTACCAGATTTGCCACAATTCTGGTGTGATAAGGTTCCATCATTCATTCCTATGTGTTTTTTCAATGTTTTGGTGGTATGATTCATTGGTCTGCCTACCTGGGTCCGTTGCCCATTGGAATACTTGTTTGTCAGGTCATTTGTGTGAGTTGGGAACTTGTGAAAGTAAATCCAAACATGTATACTGGTCATTTTTCAAGTTGTTTGAATTATGGATTCTAAACATGATACATAGACAAGTACATCCTTTATGAATTTTAAAAGACTTCTTTACTTTAATTTTCCTGAAAGTTGACTACTGAAGAATTTCAATTTCCCCCTTCCCCCAAAACTGAATACCTCCAATACCCAAGCCAATTAGGTCTCCAAATTCGAAATGCTGCTACTGCCCTAGACCCATAAATTAGTTGCTGTCAGATTTCATAAGAACCTATTTTCTTCAAACCAGTTGTTTGTTTTCCCTTTAAAACCAGATCCTTTGAAGCATACCTAAACTTCTCTACCTACAATGCCAAAAGTTATACAACTTGACAAACCTTAAAGCCCACCACGTTTTGTAAGCTGGTTATTTAACAGTGATAAGATGGTCCATAAATCAAGATTGGCTACTTGACAAACCTTAAAGCTCACCAAATTCAAAATATTATTTTACTTGTCAATATCAATAGTGATAAGATGGTCCATAAATCAAGTTTGGCTACGTGTTATAATTCACTAGTAAATCTAGTAAACCCCTTGACAAGAACGTTAAAGCTGCATGTTGTTTGTTTATGAACTAATTGTTATCTACGTATTATTCTAGTCAATGATCAAAATTTTATATTTCTCACTGTTACTAAGCATCATTCACTCTCTCCCTCAACACTCATAGGACTTCATGGAAGATTATGAGGTAATTGTGCCTTTTCAGTCTCTTCAAGCTCTAGGATGCCATGTTGATGCAGTTTGCCCCAAGAAGAAAGCTGGTGAAATCTGTGCTTGCAGGTGACCGAACATACAGTGAGAAGCCAGGCCATAATTTCACTTTAACAGCTGACTTTGAAGCTCTATATGTCTCAAGTTATGATGCTCTTGTAATCCCTGGAGGTCGAGCCCCAGAATTTTTGGGATTGGATGAGAAAGTTATTGCATTAGTCAAGCAAATTGTGGAAGCCAGGAAACCAATTGCATCCATCTGCCACGGGCAGCAGATTTTAGCTGCTGCTGGTGTTCTACAGGTAAGGTTACTCCCTTTAAGCCAGGCTACGCCTTTGTTTCCAGAAATTTGATCCGAATTTCAATCTGGTCCATATTCTTTAAGTTTCTCAATCAAATCCGACTATTTCCATATCGTTTCAATTCGGTGCGTCGTCAAACATAGTATTGATATTGTTAAAAATATTACTGACTTTCTTTAATGCCATGTGATGCCACCAAAGGAATTGCTCCAATAATTGGGTTCAACTGAAACAAAGCGAAGCTTGTAATCCCTGTTTAGGTGACAGTGTAGTTTTATTGTATCTATAGCTCATCTTTTAATAGGGATGGGTCCCATGTTGTTGGGATCAGTCCCATGCTGTCCAGAAGTTCAATAAGTTGATTTCTGAAACTAAATGAGTTGAAAGTGTACAAAATGCAGAATCAATAATATAAAGTTAATTTGTTAGGCACACAAACAAGGACGCAAAATCCTCATTAACAATCCAAAATCATATAACAAAATTGAGATTATAAATTTTGGAATTTTAAAGTCCAAGCATGATATGGTAGATATGGGAGATGCTACAATGAGGGGGATCTGAGTGGGGGGTTTGAGTGAGGGGTTCAATCCAACCATCCAACCATCCAATCATTAAAAAAGTTTTAAGTTCAAAATTTCCTTTATATTATTGGATGGCGGTATTGAACCCCTCACCCACAACCCCTCATTATAGCATTTCCGTGGCAGATATACATTTATAATGTAGATTACATAACTTTTACGCTTTTTAACATCAACTAAAATGCTAGAGTAAAATTAATTTTTGTGTGGGAAGTTTAACCAAAAAGAAAATATACAGTTAATCTGTGGATTTATTTGTTCTTTTACTCACTATCAATGTAGTTGATCGTAAATTCAAATGTTTGTTCTGTTGTGGGTGTTGATGAGCAAGCTTGCCAGTTGGTGCATGAACATTTGTGCTGTAATATAAAAGTCAGAAGGTGCGTACTGTAATGCAGAATTCTCTGAAGGAATATATGCAGTAAAAATCTATGCTAGATGGAATGGTTTAAGAATGGGGTAAAACAAGAAATTACCTAGTAAGGAAAACCAAAAGGCTTGGCTGAGTTAGGCAGTTTCAGTTTTTCAGGTGTTAGGAAGAGTTGGGAGTATCATCATTTTTGTAAGAGGGTTGATTTACTGAGTGAGTATTTTATGACAAGGTAAAAAAGAAACCACCTTGAAGTTGTAATCTGTTTGCCTTTTGCTGATTCTTCTGATTGAGGGTTGATTTACTTATTTTCACATTATGAACTTTTTTTAATCATGTCCTAATTGTTGTTAACTGGCTAAATTTTAGGGAAAGAAATGTACTGCGTATCCAGCGGTTAAGCTTAATGTGGTTTTTTCGGGAGCAACATGGCTGGAACCTGATCCAATAGATCGTTGCTTCACGGATGGAAATTTGGTTACTGGAGCAGCGTGGACGGGCCACCCAGAGTTCATTTCTCAGTTGATGACATTGCTTGATATTCGAGTATCATTCTAGTTGCTGTTTACCGGGTCAGCTGCTTGCATGTACTATATGTAATTCATGAAAGAATAAGGCATGTATGTTGTGTTATGTAAAGGTGACGTTTGTATATATGAGGGAACACGTGACACTGGTTTTGATATGTATATGCCATGTTCCACGCAAGTTTGGTTGTGGATGAACAGTAAGAAAAGAGAACTAGCCAACAAAACCCAAACAAAAGGTTAAAAAATAAAGTTAGAAGCACAAAAGCTGGAAACAAAATAAAAGAAAAGAAAAAAGAACAGTGTATACACACCATGAGAACTTAACCGACAACCTACAAATGTCTACTTAAAACAAAAATAAGAACACAACTACGCAAAACTGAGTGTAGAAGAACCTTACTAGAAAACTTAAAAAACAAACTGAAACTAGACAACAACTAAAAAAACCATGCTAAAACGAAAGCAAAACAACAAGTAACCATAAAAAGAAACAAAAGCCTACTAAAACCAAGCTGCAGAAAAAACAAAGAAAACTAAAGACACAAAACCCACAAATCCACAAAACAAGAAAAATAAACACAATGACACAACAAAAGGAAAACAAAAGTAACAAAGAAAACACCAAGATGATCGTTCTAAATGTAACAACATAACATGGCCAACAAGGCAAAATTTATCTGGTGTTGTAGTAACCATCAAACCACAAGAATCTACTCCAAACTTATCTGTTAACGTTGAAAACACCCAATAAAACCGGTAGTAACTGCTCCCAACTTTGGAACTGCAATGCTTGTAGAGGATCAAATGAACCGCCAAAAACTGCTCCCAACTTTGTAACTGCCAAGGCTTGTATAGGGCCAAAAACCATGCAACAAAAAGGAAGGCTCCGAAAAGGAGGCCACAACAAAGCAACTCTAACAGTAAAATATGAAGAAATGTGCAGAACAAAATCCCAAACCACTAATGGAAGAGGAACCAATTAGATGACGTATGATCATCGACAATCACAAGCAACAAAAATATCGTACGTAAAGAACATTCGTGCAAAAATAAGAAACACAATTGTGAAATCAAAACCAAATGAAAAAGAATAATATGTTAATGGTCAATGACCAATTTTCCATCAAAGACAATTCCCACGGGAGCCACCACACATAGCGATCATGGCGATCTGCAAATCGCAGATCTACATGTGAGTGTGGCGATCCGATTGTGCCGGAGACGGAGAAACATAGAAAACAGAGAGTAAGAGAAACAGAGAAACTGAAAAACTGAAACAGCACTTTGATTCATCTCCGTATATTGAAGTTCTTAATCAAAGTAGCGATACTAAAACCCAAAACCAAAGGGTGGAATAGTTCTGCAGTTGGTGGAATTGGGAAGGCAATGGGTGGTTCACGAGAGGATAAGTCTGTGCCGAAACTTCTCTAGGTTATCTGTTGTTGTTCGGAAATCTTCTTTACAAGTTAAATCCTTGAACACACTCACTCATATTGTTAATATTACGGAATAAATGGCCTAGGCGGGCGCTAGGCGGGCTAGGCTGGGGCTGGGCGGGCTAGGCGGGCTAGGCGGGCTTGGCAGTCTAGGCGGTTGCTAGGCGGTCGCTAGGCTGTCTAGGCGGTCTAGGCGGTCGCTAGGCGGTCACTAAGCAGTCTAGGCGGTTGCTAGGCGGTCTAGGCGGGCGCTAGGCGGTCTAGGCGGGGTAGGCGGTCTCTAGGCGGTTGCTAGCCGGTCACTAGGCGGCCGCTAGGATCATCAATGGTGAAAAAGTTGAAACGCGGTGTATTGGTAGGGAAAATAGGAGGGCTGTGTAGTACGCCACCGCCAATTTGGAGACTTGACGAGTGTTACTATCAGCAAGACAACAACAACAAACCCTGCTCTGAATTCCTCCCACAACTCTTCAGAATTTCATCCAGTTTTGGGATCAGACAATAATTCTTCGGAATTTTACGACGATGGTGACAATGACGAAGAAGATGGTGGTGACTGGGAGCGTGGTACAGTTTCAAATATTCTATTTAAATAGTATAGCCGGACGGCTATACTGTTGACACATTCTATTTATAGAGTATAGCCGGACGGCTATACTCTTTAACACATTCCATTTATAGGCGGTCTAGGAAGTTGCTAGGAGGTCACTAGGTGGGCGCTAAGCGGTCTAGGAGGTTTAGGCAGGCGCTAGCGCCTAGAAAAAAAATAAGCCATTTTGGAATCTCCGAGGTCAGGGACAAGATGACGATGGTGCTATGAGAGAGAGAGAGAGAGAGAGAGAGAGAGATATGAGGATTGAAGAAGAGAGGTCGCCAGTTATGTCTAAGTGAGAGAGAGAGAGAGGGGCTAGAAGACGGCTCGTGTTCGAATGGATTCAAGGAAATCCATTCTATCTCGTAGTCATTGTATTGCATTTATAGCGTATAGCCGCACGGCTATACTGTTAGATATTCCATTTTTTTTAAATAACAAATATATATAGTGGGATCCTTTTTTTCTTTTAAATTTTTTCCCTGATTTTTCGTTTATCGATAAGAATAGTTTATAACATTATCCATTACTATTAGGCCATTAACCAAGTCTTTATTGTCCTTGTTTAATTTTTTACTTTTCCAGAGTTATTTCCAGTTTAAAGAATTTAGCACTTTCACGTTTAATACTCTATTATACACGTATGTACATATTTTTCAATAATGCATCCGTGTTCTATACATGTCTTAAAGACTCGATAAAATTCACATATAAAAGAAAAAAAAAAAAAAATATTTTTTTTTTTTAAAGATGTTCCTAGTTGAAACCATCTATTTTCTATTTGTATATGTATTTGCATATATATGACAACATTCATGTGCCGTTAATTTTTCTAATAGGATTATGTGTTAATCGATCTAATATCGTTATGTGGCCATTTCCAAATAATGCAAAGGATTCCAAAATTATAAAACACTGCTCAAATGCCCAAGAATCATATCCATACTGAATTTGGTTTTATCTCAGCAGCAAGGTGAAGATCATACATGAAATGAAAAAAACATGAAATATCACCACATAAGGTCCAAATATCACCACATAAAACTAACAAGAACAGTAGAATCATTCTCAATACATTGTTAACTGCCTATTTAACTAAGGATGTTCTTTTTTTTTCCCAAAAAAAAAGACCAATGATATTCCTTTGCACTGTCAAGGGCCAGCTTCTCAATTTCTCTTTCAGGTTGCCTTTTTGATCCAAAGATGAAGTCTTTCACACAACCTTCAGCAGACTCTGTCGCCCTCTTAATCTGCCATCACAACTTTGTGCCATTAGCCTTCGAAACATTTAACGGACATCAAGTATAGAAATTATTCAACAAAACCGATATCTATAAAAAAAACCCATGACAATGGCCAATTACCAATGAAGAAATTGAAAGTTTTCTAAGACAAAGGAAAAAGGAACCTGAACACAGAAGAATCTCGGCTCAGCTAAAGGCATCCTGCCTTATAATATAGATGGTGAGACAAAACATGTTTTACGACAAACATTCTAGTCTTGAACTACCTAATAATACCTCAGCACTAATCTTTGCCATAATCTGTTTCAAAGGCCAAGATGCTATCCTTACAGACAGAAGCAACAAATTATTAAAAAAGACAATCAACAGCACCTCTAGCAGGCAAGGTACTTTGCAATAACGAACTCCTTTCATGTCTGCACCTATTTCTAAATTCTAACTCGGAAAATTTGTCACTGTTCCATTGAGCATCATATAGTTCTAGTTTCATGAACACTCCTACAAGCAGTCCACTACACAAACTGGTTCACATTATCATTTTGATAATGAGATATGGCAACAGGAGAGACGTCGTATAACAAAATCAGTTCAAATCACATAACCCAAATTTGGTCCACAACTAGCAACTCAAGTTCAAGCCCAAAATCTAAAGATCCCAAAATTTTGAACTAAAAGTGCAAACAAGAAGAGAAAATTGTAACCCCAAGACTAATTTTCATTTTCTCCCCACCATTTCTTAACAAGATCCAGTAGTAATTTTACAGAAAGAAATCACCTGAAGAACAAAGAACATACAGGGTCGAGAGCATTGGGCTCAAAGCCATAATCAGCTGCCAAAGAGTAAAAGTACAGACTTCGACACTTCAAATCTGAACTTGAGGGTCGAGGTCTTTTAAGAGTCATTATATATAGTTCTTTTTGCCCCTATCTATATATTGAGAGGAAAACAAATCTGAACTTGTCTTAACCACTTGAGCTACAAGCCTTTTGAATATATATTGTTTCTCACATTACTTATTTCCCCAAATCACAATTTGGCACATTTGTAAAAATAATTTTATCAACAACACAAAGAAAAATATTTGCACACCTATCAAACTGAATTTGGCAGGAAAATAGGAGGCAAATTCCCACCATAAAAGCTTGAAATACTTAGTGAAATAATTGGTAAGCAGAACAACAGCCATGTTGCATTAGGTTCCAAAATGCCTATAGACCATTTACTATTCAAAACCAGATATTAAGAAACTGAAAAGGAAAATGTAGGGGTTGTATATCTCAGTAGCATACTAGCAAATCATGTTAATGAATCACAAAACTGCAGCTCAATCAGCTTAATCAGCTAGTTTCCCTCCGGCATTCATGGGTAAAGAGAAATCTCATATACCTGTAATGCATCATGTATGCTGCTGCCACTGGTTTGACTCAAAAGGAAGCGGAGCGGGTGAGCCTTGGCTTGGCTATCTTCTTGTCCTCTTCAAGAGGGATTAGTGAAAGATTGGCTGGGTTCTCGATCATCAGTTTAGCTACCAGATATCCTGAGATGCTCCAGGTCTGGTACTTCCTCGCTTGCTTCCTGACATATCTCCCTGCCTTGCCGTTATAGTATTCTGGCCACCCGTCTTTTGAGAGCCGTTGCTCCACCTCTTCAATTGCTCTCTTAGCAGTCTGAGGCCTCCCTGTCTTGATACATGCTGCAGTAAGCAACCACAGCAGTGCTACAAGACAGATGCAACAACATTAACCAATTGTTTTAGAACAAACACATAAGTCAGAATTCTGTGAACAAGCATCAAAATATCATGAATAGCACAAATGCCCAAGAATCATATCCATACTGAATTTGGTTTTATCTCAGCAACAAGGTGAAGATCATACATGAAATGAAACAAAACATGAAATATCACCACATGAGGTCCAAATATCACCACATAAAACTAACAAGAACAGTAGAATCATTCTCAATACATTGTTAACTGCCTATTTTTTTTTTTTTTTTCTTTCCAAAAAAAAGACTAATGATATTCCTTTGCACTGTCAAGGGCCAGCTTCTCAATTTCTCTTTCAGGTTGCCTTTTTGATCGTCTTTCACACAACCTTCAGCAGATTCTGTTGCCCTCTTAATCTGACATCACAACTTTGTGCCATTAGCCTTCGAAACATTTAACGTACATCAAGTATAGAAATTATTCAACAAAACCGATATCTATCAAAAAAACCCATGACAATGGCCAATTACCAATGAAGAAATTGAAAGTTTTCTAAGACAAAGGAAAAAGGAACATGAACACAGAAGAATCTCGGCTCAGCTAAAGGCATCCTGCCTTATAATACAGATGGTGAGACAAAACATGTTTTACGATAAACATTCTAGTCTTGAACTACCTAATAATACCTCAGCACTAATCTTTGCCATAATCTGTTTCAAAGGCCAAGATGCTATCCTTACAGACAGAAACAACAAATTTTTAAAAAAGACAATCAACAGCACCTCTAGCAGGCAAGGTACTTTGCAATAACAAAATCCTTTCATGTCTGCACCTATTTCTAAATTCTAACTTGGAAAATTTGTCACTGTTCCATTGAGCATCATATAGTTCTAGTTTCATGAACACTCCTACAAGCAGTCCACAACACAAACTGGTTCACATTATCATTTTGATAATGAGATATGGCAACAGGAGAGACGTCGTATAACAAAATCAGTTCAAATCACATAACCCAAATTTGGTCCACAACTAGCAACTCAAGTTCAAGCCCAAAATCTAAAGATCCCAAAATTTTGAACTAAAAGTGCAAACAAGAAGAGAAAATTGTAACCCCAAGACTAATTTTCATTTTCTCCCCACCATTTCTTAACAAGATCCAGTAGTAATTTTACAGAAAGAAATCACCTGAAGAACAAAGAACATACAGGGTCGAGAGCATTGGGCTCAAAGCCATAATCAGCTGCCAAAGAGTAAAAGTACAGACTTCGACACTTGTTCAAATTTGAACTTGAGGGTCGAGGTCTTTTAAGATTCATTATATATAGTTATTTTTGCCCTTGTCTATATATTGAGAGGAAAACAAATCTGAACTTGTCTTAACCACTTGAGCTACAAGCCTTTTGAATATATATTGTTTCTCACATTACTTATTTCCCCAAATCACAATTTGGCACATATGTAAAAATAATTTTATCAACAACACAAAGAAAAATATTTGTACACCTATCAAACTGAATTTGGTAGGAAAATAGGAGGCAAATTCCCATCATAAAAGCTTGATATACGTAGCCAAATAATTGGTAAGCAGAACAACAGCCATGTTGCATACTTTCCAAAATGCCAATAGACCATTTACTATTCAAAACCAGATATTAAGAAACTGAAAAGGAAAATGCAGGGGCTGTATATCTCAGTAGCATACTAGCAAATCATGTTAATGAATCACAAAACTGCAGCTCAATCAGCTTAATCAGCTAGTTTCCCTCCGGCATTCATGGGTAAAGAGAAATCTCATATACCTGTAATGCATCATGTATGCTGCTGCCACTGGTTTGACTCAAAAGGAAGCGGAGCGGGTGAGCCTTGGCTTGGCTATCTTCTTGTCCTCTTCAAGAGGGATTAGTGAAAGATTGGCTGGGTTCTCGATCATCAGTTTATCTACCGGATATCCTGAGATGCTCCAGGTCTGGTACTTCCTCGCTTGCTTCCTGACATATCTCCCTGCCTTGCCGTCATAGTATTTTGGCCACCCGTCTTTTGAGAGCTGTTGCTCCACCTCTTCAATTGCTCTCTTAGCAGTCTGAGGCCTCCCTGTCTTGATACATGCTGCAGTAAGCAACCACAGCAGTGCTACAAGACAGATGAAACAACATTAACCAATTGTTTTAGAACAAACACACAAGTCAGAATTCTGTGAACAAGCATCAAAATATCATGAATAGCACAACCATTTGGCACGCTTTCCCAAATTACATTCAGAAATGTATCCCACAACATTTATATACCTGAAGATTTCGAATGGAAAAGTGGTTACAATCAGCAAAGAAAGATGTTTAAAATGAAAGATACTATGTCAGGTAAGTAGTGCTTGTAGCCTAGTTTACTAAATAAAAACAATAACTAGCCTACTCACATAAAGTGGGTACTAATGTTCATGAAATGTAATTGAAAGGTCTCAGTCAAATAGAACTAGCACTAGGCTTCAAGTAGAAAAATAGAACTGCAAATTGTAATATCAGGCAAATAGACACAGGGGACATTATCCGAAAGATTTACAAATCAACGGAAACTAACAAAACCAGCCTTGAGCCACCAATATTTAAGCAAAAACCTTTATACTTTAATGGTGAAAATGACTACTAGAGGTGCTAAAATGAATAAACATAGCACGTAACAGAGACAAATCAAAACAAGACATGAACAAAAAGAACAGAAAAGATAAAGAGCTAATGCAAATAGCATATTGTGATAACACCATCTCCATGAGACTTACTTGGCCAAGAGCCACCATTGTGATAACTCCATGTAACTTCTCTGGGTTATCTGTTGTTGTTCGGAAATCTTCTTGACAAGTTAAATCCTTGAACACACTCACTCATATTGTTAATATTACGGAATAAATGGCCTAGGCGGGCGCTAGGCGGGTTAGGCTGGGGCTGGGCGGGCTAGGCGGGCTAGGCGGGCTTGGCAGTCTAGGCGGTTGCTAGGCGGTCGCTAGGCTGTCTAGGCGGTCTAGGCGGTCGCTAGGCGGTCACTAAGCAGTCTAGGCGGTTGCTCGGCGGTCTAGGCGGGCGCTAGGCGGTCTAGGCGGCCGCTAGGCGGCTAGGCTGGGGCTAGGCGGGGTAGGCGGTCTCTAGGCGGTTGCTAGCCGGTCACTAGGCGGCCGCTAGGATCATCAATGGTGAAAAAGTTGAAACGCGGTGTATTGGTAGGGAAAATAGGAGGGCTGTGTAGTACGCCACCGCCAATTTGGAGACTTGACGAGTGTTACTATCAGCAAGACAACAACAACAAACCCTGCTCTGAATTCCTCCCACAACTCTTCAGAATTTCATCCAGTTTTGGGATCAGACAATAATTCTTCGGAATTTTACGACGATGGTGACAATGACGAAGAAGATGGTGGTGACCGGGAGCGTGGTACAGTTTAAAATATTCTATTTAAATAGTATAGCCGGACGGCTATACTGTTGACACATTCTATTTATAGAGTATAGCCGGACGGCTATACTCTTTAACACATTCCATTTATAGGCGGTCTAGGAAGTTGCTAGGAGGTCACTAGGTGGGCGCTAAGCGGTCTAGGAGGTTTAGGCAGGCGCTAGCGCCTAGAAAAAAAATAAGCCATTTTGGAATCTCCGAGGTCAGGGACGAGATGACGATGGTGCTATGAGAGAGAGAGAGAGAGAGAGAGAGAGAGAGAGAGAGATATGAGGATTGAAGAAGAGAGGTCGCCAGTTATGTCTAAGTGAGAGAGAGAGAGAGGGGCTAGAAGACGGCTCGTGTTCGAATGGATTCAAGGAAATCCATTCTATCTCGTAGTCATTGTATTGCATTTATAGCGTATAGCCGCACGGCTATACTGTTAGATATTCCATTTTTTTTAAATAACAAATATATATAGTGGGATCCTTTTTTTCTTTTAAATTTTTTCCCTGATTTTTCGTTTATCGATAAGAATAGTTTATAACATTATCCATTACTATTAGGCCATTACCCAAGTCTTTATTGTCCTTGTTTAATTTTTTACTTTTCCAGAGTTATTTCCAGTTTAAAGAATTTAGCACTTTCACGTTTAATACTCTATTATACACGTATGTACCTATTTTTCAATAATGCATCCGTGTTCTATACATGTCTTAAAGACTCGATAAAATTCACATAAAAAAAAAAAAAAAAAGTAACAATACTCGTATTGTAATAAGTATTTCCCATGTTTAATACATGTATTTTTTATAAAATTTTCAATAAGACACAAAATTCACATATTATACAAATAATTCTCACATATTATTGAATAAAAATAATATATATTAAATTATTATATAATGGCCGATTAATATCTACTTTGGATATGTTGAAACTAGCAAATTAATATCTCTAGAGTATAAACTAATGCAACAAAGATGGTGCTTTTTTCTTAATTTTTTATTTATTAAATTGTATAGTCGCGCGTCTATACCTTTTGCATTGTAAGCCCTCACTCCTAGGGCAAAGAGAAATCTGTTTTAGCCCTCAAGAACTTTCAAGTTACAAGCCAGAATCCATTTGCATTGTTGCTTTCTTACTCCATACTTAGTAAAATAGATCTAACACCAAAATCTTCTCTCATCCAGTTTAAGACTCCATAAGTTTCTGCATCCATAAAGTTCATATCAGTTTCCCAAAACTATTTCTAACAAAATGCTGCAGATAGTACCCGGGATCAAGTTTCCGCAGACATCCCTGCAAAACATAATTGTATAAGATCAGTTATTGATGACCACACCAATGATAATATAAATTGGAGCAAGTTGCCTCTCAGATTTGTATAAGATCAGTTATTGTCTATTTCGGCTACTCATGGTAAACCTATTATAATACAAAAAATTATCATATTTGTTTTTCTCAGACAATTAATTTAAATTTATAAAGAGAAGAGAAAGGAGTAAAGGATATATGAGAAATTTATATATTGCAAAGATTACAGAAATTCATAAGAGAATTTGCATGCTTCAGCTGTAGTAGATAAAGGAAAAAGAAATTACATCAAGAACCAAAGTGGTTACCATGAAAGTACAAACATTGACTCTATGACGCCTAACTTTCTCGAGTAACTGCTGCTTACACTCAGCAGGATGGACCAGATCACCTTCTGGAGTACCCCAGAAAGTGAATGCCTCCTCGACTTGCTGTAAAAAGAAGAAGATTAGAAACTTTGGCCAAATATAGACTAAAATCAAATACATAATCTAGATTAAGGAGGGAAACTTGTAGCAGAAGCTTCCTGAGTTCATAATATCATTGAGGAACTGCATTTGTCTACAACCACAGCACACACAGTGATGAATAAACCAAAAAAGGAGTGAATACTACACATATATCACATATTTCAATCGTGCTTGACAAAATTTGCTTTGAGACAGGAAAGTATTAACAGGGGAAGTAGGATTCAAATTCATGCTCTTTGAGACAAAAAAGTATTACAAGAAAGTATTATCTGGTATAGTAGAGTATGCTACTTATGTGTTAGGTACATTATGTTATATTTACCTAGTAATTAGGTACATTATTTTATATTTACCTAGTATTTAGGTGCATTATCTTATATTTACCTAGTATTTAGGTACATTATGTTATATTTACGTAGTATTTAGGTACATTATGTTATATTTACCCAATAATTAGGTATATTATATCATATTGATGCAAGGCTCTGCTTGTTGCAAGCCTTTCCAATCAATTGATGCGAATTGCTTGGCTAAATCGCTTCCTCCTTTCTTCCCTCCATTGCCTCAGGGGGACTGTGCTCCAGGGAATGTTGCTGCTTCTAAAGCATTTGGGTCAAAGCAGTAGTGGTCGATTGAGAGGATAGTTCTTGCAGGCAAAAAATTATATTTTTGTTCTCGATTAGTCATTGTCATGCAAGTTTTACGTATACCTTGAGTTTTGCTTAGGTTGTGAATTGTGATGAATATTTTAAAGAAAATAACATCTGATGAATCTTATTGCATTAAGACTCTCTCTCTCTCTCTCTCTCTCTCTCTCTCTCTCTCTCTCAAATTCCCGTGGTAGGGTGATCATATACACTTTCCCTTTCATATTTACCGGTTATGTGTTGTTCACATGATGAGATGATTGTGGAGAGTGTTAGTCCACAAAACAGTGTCAATATATTTCCAGTTGACTATTTTCTTCCTTCCTGGCCATAAGAACAACTGTGCTGCCATGACTGGGAAAATTTTGCATATTTCCTAGTTCCTCTTCCAAGAGAAACTCAAGATTTTTTGTGGCTTTCCATTACCAAAATACTTAAGTTTCTAATTTGCCCATAAATTTTAGCTCAAGTGATATTGGGATGAGATGATATATTTTTTAGAGTTCAGATCAAGCGGCATTGGCTTGTAACTTTGCAATAATATTTTATTGGTATTCTGGGTACATTTAAATGAGAAAATAAATTCCACTAAATCAGAGGCACTTTTTTTTTTCCTTCTAAATTTGCAACAAAAATCCTAAATTGAGATAAATGGTTATTAAATTGAGGAAATCGAAAACAATGATGCTTGAACTTGGAAATCATGCACATCAGACATTAAGTCACCAATGAGGTCCAGTATAGAAACTCCTGCATACAACATTTTTGTCCGAACACAGAAAATGTTATGAGTTCATCCTAGCTCAGGCTCGTTGCTAGGATGAACTTAGCTCAGGCTCATTCCATTCGTAACCCAGTTACCTGAGCATCAAAGTCTTCAACTTAGCTCAGGCTTATTGCTCTTATATAAATCCTTACCCTCTTCTCTCCAACCATCAACAAAGCCAATCTAGCTAACCCTTTTCTGGTATAGTGCAAAAGTAAGAGTTCCAGGTTTGCCAATAACCATGTCTAGAGAAGTTGAAGCAATATTTTCACTACTGCTAATGGCAGCATGTGCTGCAACTGGCCTGGCGCATGTGCCAACCCCACCAGCATTGCCTCTCTTTCCACCGATCCCAGGCCTATTGCCACCAGGGATCCCAGGGTTGCCGCTGCAGATTTTAGATTTAATTCCTTTTGCAAGGAAAAAGAAAACTGGAATGTGGACAGATCATCTGTATTTTGACACTTCGTAATAACATTTGATTGGGAACATACACAGGCGAAATAAACTCCACTAAATGGAGGCAGGTTTTCTAAATTTGCAACAAAATAAAATCCAGTGCATATGTAAAACAATGATGCTTGAATTTGATAATCATGCATATCAGGTGCTTTGTTTATAAAACAACTTTATTGGAGTATGGATCTTCGATGTGGGATTTTCACAAAGGGCACCTCAAAATATAAGCCCATATTTTTATTGTTGGGAAATATATTTAAAGAGTATAGCCGCGCGGCTAGACTACAGTTGTTTACTTTAAAAATAGTATAGCCACGTGGCTATACTATTTGTGACACACTTATTCATATTTTTCCCATCCCGTATTTTACTAACCATGAAAGAATGTGAGACACTAAGATTATTTCTTACTTCTCGTAACAAAAATGCAAGATGGTGATTTTGCAATCTCTTCCAAAGCCCAATTCAATTTTCTAATTTTCTCAATCTCTTCCCTTTTTGCTCTGGGCCACTTCACCATCCCAACCTCTATGGCCTCCATTATTCTCCTCACTTGCCTTTCCTCTGAAGGAAACATGTACTTAAACTTTCAAATCTCTGGATTTTAGGCTACAACATACATGAATCAAACATTTGAAGAGGCGGAAGCGAATTTTAGTTCTTATTGACCCTAATGCTATCCAATTTCCCAAGTATCTTTCTATGTCTAATCTCATATGTGCCAAAAAACCAAAAGTGGAGGAAAGGATTAGACTTTCTTGCCTTTAAAGATCGATTGGATGGCATCCAAGTTATCACCTTTAATGAAAGACATTCTTCCTTGTGCTTGCTTCATAAATTCTTCTCAAAGATACCAAAATAAGTATCCTCTAGTTCATACACACCAAATAAAGAGAAGACGTTAAGAAGATGACCAAGAGGACGTGATGTGCTAGCCCTCTCTTCTTTGAGGTCGAGTTTGGCTCATGGTAGAGAGTGGATCTATCATCTCTCAACATCACACCTAACTTCTTAGGAGGCTCAAACCCCAGAGAGTGAATGGTATAAGTGTGGCTTATATAGATCACACCACAAGTGAGACAACCCTCACATGCAACTAGCCATAGTGTCATTGGGCTTCTCTTGGGCTCACTTGAGTTTGTGTTGTCATATAACACTTATTCTTGGGCCCAATGGGTCATTTCCTTCTTCATTTCTTCCTCTTATTACATTTATTGGTATGCGATCCATAGGTTCAAATTAGCGAGGTAAAGGGTAGGTTCGATTCCTCCGAACCGTATGTGAATTAAATCCCATCATTTAATTCTCCCTATTGGCTTTAACAACTCCAATGACTTCCACATCTACTTGCTTTCCATTCCTCATGAACACTTTAACTTCATGCTTTCTTCGCTCCCTCCTTCTTGTGAATTCATGCACATTATGAGCTATATGAATCGAGCCACCTATATCTAACCACCAAGAATTAGAAGGAACATCCACTAAATTAGACTCAAAACTCACTAAAACCAATTCTCTATTACCTTTATTCTTCTCGAACCACTACTTGTAATGGTTGCAGTTCCTCTTTATGTGACCCTCCTTCTTGCAAAAATAGCACTTGAATTCAGTAGTTGGGGTCACGCCATTGAAACTGATTATGCTTCTTCACTTCCTATTTTGCAACACCCTTATTCTCATATTTCTTGGCAGCAACCATGTTAACAACACCACTATAAGCTTTTGTTGTATTTTCCTCAAGAACAGTAATTGTAATCAAGTCATCCATTGTCCAATCTTCCTTCAGGGTGTTGTAAGTGGATTTCATCTAATCATAAGATAGAGAATCCAATGCAATGTGCACTAGATAAGTTAGATCAACAGGTACTTTCAGCCTGTTCAGTTTGACAACAATACCCACGAGTCCCATTAGATGTTCTCTCATGCTCCCTCATTCATACTTCGTATTAGCCAGCGTAGGCATTAGGTTCTTTGTTTTAGCCTTGCTGGATTCCTTAAATTTCCTTTCAACGAATTCCATAAACTACTTGGCACTTTCTGTTTCTACAACTCCACCAAAAACAGCTTCTGTAATAGTCTTCTTCATGACCAACTTGCACTTCTTATTTGCCATCCTCTAAACTTCATGCACCATTTTCACTTCAATAAGGGAATTCGCAACGATTCTGGTTGGCTCGTCTTAGGTGATAGCATAATCGATATCATACATGCCAAGAGTAACTTGAAGATCAAACTTCCATATTTTGAAGTTTGATCCAATGAGGGTTTCAATTTGCGAAAAATTGATTGAGGGAGTATTCAAAGCTGTAAGGATTTGCAAAAGAAAGTATAAGTACTTTCCAAGAAAACCGATTCTCAATTTGTTAAGAGAAACAGTTTTTCAGTTTATCTTTAATTCACAAAACTAACAAATAACAGATACAAACGTCCTTAATTAAGTATCACACCTTTGTGGCAAGAGATTACTTATAGCTTACAAACAAATTACGTGTTATTTTGTGCCATCATAAACAAATTACATGATATATTCTATTTGTTGAAGAAACTTACCAAGTAAGTTAGGTATGATGCAATTTTGGTTATTTCTTTAGGGTTTGAGTATATAGGTTTGGTTTTGTTGATTCTCAGAACAAAAACTAGTTCCTATCTGGCACAAAAATAACCAAAAACACAATCAAAGAGAAAACCCTAAAATTGGCTTAAATAGTGTTTTCTGCCGTGAATAGTGTTTTAGGTGTCTGTTTTCGACCCATTATACCTTTCCGAATAGGGAATGACGTGATTAATAGTACTCACTACTTTGCTTTCACCTAAGGCCATTTTTAGGGGTTTAAGGTCATCTAGTAGGTCAAAAACGGGTTTAAAGTTTTGAAGATATGAAAAATCACTTAAAATATGCCTTTTCCAGATTCTTTAATATTCATAGTATTTAGGAAAATATTTTTAATATTTCATCAAATTTTTAAACATAACAAAAATAGTCATGGTATCAACGGATAAAGAAATCGCGATAGGCATGCTTGAAAATGATCTCAGTATGTGTGAGTAACCATGTGCTCTGATACCAACTGTTAGATTTTCCATATATGTGTTCATGATCTTTCACAACAATAGCATCACGAGCAAAAACATGAACAACTTAAGACTTGTACTTTCTCTCAGAAAATGTTTTAGCTCTTTCTTTATGATGAGTTCAAGAATCAGGCTCCAAGAGTGTTTCAAAAGGGTTCGTGGAGCCTTAGGAAGCACTTTGGTTTCTTTCACCAACAAAACAAACAACTGCTTACATATCAATATTTTGGCTCGACTTGAGAAGCTTGTGACATTATACAGATGGCCTTGGATTTCCCATGAGAAATAGAGGTTCAAAGCAAAGGGAAAGGGACATTTGGAAAGATTTGTTGATAGAAGAAAGGAAAATATGAGGATGGAAGGATGGGTGGCTTGAGTAAATTTCCAGCCGATTGATGGAAGCTTCCTCACGCTCTTGGAAGGTTTACCAAAAGAGAAAAAGGAAGGAGATGGGAGAGCAGAGTTTGAAATTGAAGGGTTCCAGTAGTGAGAGAGGATGCTTGCTCGCTCGCTCTGGATGTGTTGTTTTTGCTGGGTAGGAGATTTCCCCTTTTATAGGCGCTGAAAGCTCCTCATTTCCAAGAAACCCTAGCTGGTTCTCCCTAATTTTGCCAAGTCTTCTCCTCAATTTCCCTCTATCCATTTTGCTGTGTTGTTTTTGTTGAGTTGAGTTGGTGTTGGACTCCTTGATCTAACCGCTTCTCTTCAATATAGTGAGCCTTTAGTTTGGACCGAGAGAATATTTCACAGCCCCTCATTAAATGTTTCTGACACCCTTCTAATCACATATCTCCCCTTCTAACTTAAGCTTTTACTTGTAATTGGTCAAAAGACTCATATGTTGGGAGACAAAGGCATCCATATGACAACTCTGTTCTTTGATTGGACGAGCTCTGACACTTTGGGCAGTGAAAAGCTCTTCCTTCCTCGACTAGGAGAAACACTTACATGAAATGGGAATATCATTATTTTGTTATACCCGGCCAATCACGGTATGTCATGCGTGATAACTTTTCCACATGGCAAATTGTGTTTTGTTGGGGATAGCAAAACAGTGTTATCCCTATTTCATGCAAGTTTTTTTGCTCGACTAGCGATGTCTACCTTCTCGGTGATGCAAACCTTCCTTGGCTAAAGAATCAGGTCGAGTTTCCTCTTTGTTATTAGGTACATTCGTAAGGCCCAATGTTTTTTCAAGTCCAATGGTCCTTTAAGGCCTTTAACTTTCCTAAAAGGCCCAAACTTCACTATCTTTTGAATTGGATTGATAGGGCCTACCAATTCTTCTTGGGCCCATTAGCTAATTTTCCAGGTCCAAACTCCAAACACAGGGCAAGACCATCATCCCTTTTGCTTCGTCTTCTAGAAAACCTGGCCAATTGGAGGAGCTGGGTTTAGATGGCCTGTGGAAAGAGACGGCGTATTGTTCTAAAATATTGGGTTGTCTGATGATGCTCCGCAACGAGCTTCTTTGAGAAGCCGATGCTGTGGCCGAGAAATTGCCCGGTTATTTCGACGACATCATGGATTTCGGTACTGTGAAATCCAAATTGGAGAGAGGTGCCTACTCCAACGCTAATGGCTTTGCTTATGAGCCTTGTCTTCTCAAATACTTTAAGATATTATCCGATTGGGAGCATTGAGCGTGCAACAGCCAAGAATCTCAGTGTTGTTTTTGAGACCAAATGGAAAGAAGATATGGAGAAAAAGCCAAATGCTATTTGTCACCCTCTCCGCAAGGAATTGTTAGTGTCACCCAAACAGAAACAGGGCTTCTACTTCTAGGGTTCTTCAAACTCAAGGGCTTGGGATTCTCACCCAATTGATTCAACCGAAGATGATGACTTCGCCACCCTGTTCATCATGCCATGGATCCGATCAGGCCTCCCATAATCTTTATCCATGTAAGGCTAGCCGAATTCAGTCACTTGAAGATACGATTTTCAGATACAATATTGAAAGCAAACAAGATAATTAAGGGTCACCTGATTCTCCACCAAGCAGAAAATTGATGCAGTGTAATAAGGAAAGGGGATCGGCTTGCCGTACCATTTTGAACATAAGTCAATGTATTTTGACGACAATTTACAAGATGTCGAACAATTTGAGATGCTGTGTGGCTGTGGCAGTGAAATTTTCTACAGGTCCACCTTAGACTTCACTTAAGAAATTGGGTGTATGCCCTCAAGGAAGATGGAAGGTCAGGATGAGGAGGCTTTTGTGAATGGAGATTGGAAGGAATGTGAGATCCGCTGGGAGGAAGAAGGGGATTGAGAGGAAGGCGAGATTCATTCATAAAGGTAAGTGCCACCTTGGCTCTGCTATTTTGTTGTAGATATTTATATATTCGGTTAGAGTTTCCACTTTGTTGTTGATTAGCAATTGATGTGATTCTGAATTAATTAAACAATTCTTTCCAAGTTGAATGATATATTGGCAACACCAGTTTCTGTTTCTGTTTGTCCTCTAATGGTACTTTGTTTATTGTTCTATATGTTCTATCTGTCCGATTCCTTCCACTCAGTTTTCTATTGCAAAGTATGTCATAGTTGAATATACTAGTTGGATCTAGAATAAGTTTATGGAACCATAAAAAGGTTTGTTTTTCGTATAAAAGATAAAAAGAACCTCTTTAACTGTAATGTGCCCAAGTCTCCAGTGGAGCAGAGTTTCTAAAGGGGATCAGAAACGGTTGTGCATGTCTGATTTAATCCTGGATAGCCAGATATATTGGCAACTTCACCATAGTTGAATATACTGTAGTAGCTTTCACTTTCTTTTTAATTACTGTTGATCACCAGTGCAATTTTTGTTGTTTCGCCAAAATATATGAAATTTTGATCACCAGTTGTGTAGTAAATATATCCAACCACAGCAAGCTTTCATCTTGCCTAGTTATTCATCTGTTATTTCTTCTTATAAATAAAAGATTAAAAAATAACTCTCTTTTACTGTACTTTCTGATGCCTAATATGTACTGGAGCAGAGTTTCAAATGAGGAAAGACAGTTTTAAATGCTCTGGCTCCTGCTAATCAAATTATGTGTATTTAAGTTTTTTTTTAATTGAATAAGGAATGCTAATAATAGATTTTAGCATCTGTACAAACAAATGATTTCTTATAAAAGTTGTTCAATGTCAGTGCCCCTTTATTTTTTTGTGAAAACATCTTCTTCCCACTTGTTTCTGGGTAATAAAAGTTCTCGGCAGCTAGAAATCATAAGATCTGCTTAACTTTCTATCACATTTGGTAGAGCCTGATGGTTTTCTTTCCCTATGAACTTGAACCAGAGTGCAATTCCAAACTCCTGCTAATCAGGTTTATGCATCTTTAAGTTAGTTTTGATTAAATAAGGAATGAAATGATGAATACTTCTGAGTATTTAGCATTTGTACTATCTCTTTGCGTCAATAATGTCATAATATGAAGGAAAACTATGGTGTGTGTGCCCCCTCGTCTAATCCCAGCATTGGCCTTTGCTTCTGTAACTCTGATAATCTGGTACCCCATCTTAATTTCTCCTCTAAATTTATGAAATAACCCAATTAGTGTTTTTTTTTGGTCTTTTGTGGCTTAGATTTCTCTCTCCTGTTTTTTGTTTCCAGGGGTCTCATTTATGTTGTTGTCACTATAATTGTGTCGTCATATGTCACTATGGTTATGTTGTCATATGTCACATATGAAATTTCACTATGGTTATGCTTTAGAGTTTTAAGTTACATGTTCTCTGCATGTATCCAAATTTCATATCAGTATGATTTTTCACTGAGAACTTGGGTTGATGAAGAAGAGAGGTTATAGTTTTTAGAGCATGCTATCTGCATCTTTTGAGATCTTGAGATAGTGTGAGCATTATATATAGATTAGAATCCCTAGCAAGCAGAATTGGGTTTTTTTATTATTATATAGAGCTCTAGTTAGAGTTTATTTAGTATTGTATTATTTCTTCCTTTTAAGTCCTCTCAATTTTTCTTTAATTATACTTTTCCTGGCTCTATAGTTTCTAACTGTTTGAGTTTTCCAAGTGTTATGTGTATCAGAGTAGAATACCTAGTAAGGTTGGCTTGGCACATCATAATATGACTAGTTTTACCCTTCTGCAGTTTAATCTTCTGCTCTAAACAGGCTGTGATTCATATTAATTTGTTGCATTATGTACAACTTGAGTGCCCTATTTTCTGAGATAAAATTCCATCCGATTTCTAATTTCATATGGATGATTTAGAATCTTGATATCAGTCACTCTCTTTTAAGAGCACCTTGTTTGTACATGAAGTTTGTATCTTCTGTTTGTGTGTGTGTAGTTTTCTTGTGGCTTTCCAGATAGTCGATGAAATGCCTTTTCGATAGGCTTCCATGTATGTAATCACCATTAATTGTGCATTTTTCGTTAAGTTTAGGATTGCAACTTATAATGCGTGGTCACATATACAGTTCTGTAATCTTAATCTTTTCAGCTATTCCAATGTTATGCTTAACTCTCGTGTTTTATTCATTCCGTTTGATATAATTTGGTGTTTTATCATTCTGATGCAAAAAATTTCTCTCAGCCTTGTCTCTATGGGTAACAACACTGAGTTTCAAAGCACAGTCATTTGGCTTTCTGAAAATTTAATGCTTGTCGATGCAAGAGTTAATCTTGTTGAGGTATGTATTGAGGAGCTTGTGGAAAAAAATAATTTTGGTTTAGTTATGCTGATCCTAGAAATGAATTATTCTTGTACCTTCAGATTGCTCAAAATGTGATGTAGCTACTGTATGTAGATATTATTTTGAAAGTAATTCAAGAGTAATGTTTATCATTGTCAAGTCATGTACTTGAGGTGTATTAGTGGTTCTCGTTTTCATTTGATTGCTTTTGTGCAGTGCAACATAAGAGTGCTTGGAGGACTTGTCTCTGGTCATCTACTTGCCACTGATTCTACAGACAGGTTGGGTGAACGGAGTTTACAAGAATCAGCTGCTTACTTTGGCCGAGGATTTGGGGAAACACTTTCTACCTGCATTTGACACACTGACTGGATTACCACATGCATGGGTTAACTTAAAGGTACCACCTGAGACATGCTGAGGTCCAACTAAGAATTATGTTTTGATTTTTAGGATGTATGCATGATGTGATTATTTCTAAATTGTTATCATCAGTCTAAAATACAGTTAGGTGTACTTGCAAAATCTTTCCAAAGGATTCACCTTTCAAGTTTTAAAATTATATGAAAACATTCAGGTGGTTTTGTTTGTAAGAAGGATATACGACTCCCCATCAATGCAAAATTCCGTGGACCGTATGGAGTGATGGAGAATGAGACTACTGAAACAAGCACTTCAGGGTGTGGTGAGTGGCTTTGTTTTGCTGTATTGAGATGAGGACATCAATAATGGATTTCCTGAATGTCTTGATTCTCTGTAGGAATTCAGGTTCTCTAATTCTGGAAATGGGAGCATTATCCCAATTGACTGGAGACCCGAAATACGAATCTGCAGCTTTACGTGCTCTCGTTGAATTTACTTGGTACAAACACTGGATGTATCAACTGGGGAATGGATTGAATATTCAACTGGGATTGGGGCTGGTAGGTCTTCTCAGGGCTTTGAGGTCTTCAACGTACTACACTTTATGATGCATAGTTTGTTGGCTTTCCCAAATAGAGTTTGATGTTTCTGATGTTGGATATGTGTTGCTTCATTTAGGGGTTGATTCATTTTATGAGTATCTATTTAAGGCTCGCATTCTTTTTGAAAAGGGGAAGTTCTGGAGAATGTTTCATTCTGCTTATATTGCTGTGCAGGAATATTTCAGACATGGTCCAAGGTACAGCACTATTCCCTAGCCTTATTGAATGCCATAAACAAAGTACCATTGGAGAACAAACAGAAATAGAAACTGGTGTTACCAATATATCATTCAACTTGGAAAGAATTGTTTAATTAATTTAGAATCACATCCTTAATTTCCTTGTTTCTAGAAATTAATAATGAATTGCTAATCAACTACAAAGTGGAAATGCTAACCAAAGAATGACTGCCAGTGCAGAACATATACATCATCCACAACAAACTAGCAGAACCAAAGTGGCCCTTACATTCATGAATGGATCTCCTTCCTCCCAGCAGATCTCACCTTCCTCCCAATCTCCTTTCAGAAAGCCTCCTCATCCTGACCTTGCAACTCATCATCTTCCTTGAGGTATACACCCAATTTCTTAAGTGGAAGTCCAAATTGGACCTGTAGAAAAGGATCTTCACTGCCACAGCCACACAACATCTCAAGTTGTTTGAGATCCTATAAATGGTCCTCAAAATACACTGACTTCTCCATGTTCAAAATGGTACGGCGAACCGATTCCCTTTCCTTAGTCCGTTGCATCAATTTTCTGCTTGGTGGAGAATCAGGTGGACCTTTAATTATCTCGTTTGCTTTCAATATTGTATCTGAAAATCGTATCTTCAGTGACTGAATTCGGCTAGCCTTACATGGAGAAAGATTATGCGAGGCCTGATCCATGGCATGATGAACAAGGGCAGTCAAGATCATCTTTGGTTGAGTCAACTGGGTGAGAATCAAAAACCCCAAGCCCTTGAGTTTGAAGAACTAGAAGTAGAAGAGCTCTTGCCCTATTTCAGTTTGGGTGACACTAACAAACCCTTGACTTTGCACAAAGGACAAGTAGTCTTTGGCTTTTTCTCCATGGCTTCTTTCCATCTGGTCTCAAAAACACCACTGTGATTCTTGGCTGCTCCATGCTCAATTCTCCCAAACGGATAATATCTTAAAGCATTTGAGAAGATAAGCCTGACATTAGCAGCAAAGCCATTAGCGCTGGAGTAGGCACCTCTCTCCAATTTGGATTTCACAGTACCAAAATCCATCGGCCTCCCGATGTCGTCGAATTAACCGGGCAAATTCTCAGCCACAAGATCAACCACATGCTTAACGAAGAACCTCGCATGGCGGAGCATCATCTGAAAACCTAAGATTTTAGAACAATACATCGTTTCTTTACGCCAACACCCAGTTTTGCCTCTTGCTCTTTTGGGTCTGATGGAGATCATCTAAACCCAGCTCCTCCAATTGGCTATGCTTTCTAGAAGACGAAGCCAAAGTGATGATGGTCTTGCCTTGTTTATGTGACAAACCCTTGCGCAGAGGAAGACAAGCAGTCAGCTTTTCCTCCTTGGCTACATTCCGTTTGGTCTCAGAAACCCTAGAAGACCTCTTGCTCTTCTTGCTCCATGGCTATGTATCAAAATTTTTGTTCATAATGTAAATTCTTATGTAAACATACCTAATACTCATTGTGTTTTATGTGTATGTTGTATCAGCTTGTCATCAAGTGATTATATAGTGATTATATGGTGGTTTGATGAATGTGAGTATGTATATTTTGTTTCTGCAGTTGATTGCTAAGGAATTTGGAAGTGTGTGTTCCCTTGAGTTTTTTTTTTCTCATTTGGAAGCGTGTATATTTTTTAGTAATGAGAAGTAATGACTTCGGTAAGAGGCAAAGATAAGACGTTTGAATTTCACGTTCATTCAGCAACGGAGAAAATATTGATGAAAATCTTGCTCATACTAGTTATACTGCCTTCTGCTGTGTTCCACACGTCATTCAATATCATTCCAGGGAAAAATTTAGCTTGTTACAAAAATTTGAGAATTGATGTTCCTTAAAATGCAAATTCAGCTGCAAAGGAGGGTGGTGAGAAGTGGAAGTCTATGAGTGATGTGGTCATGTTTTTGTTTTGTTTTGTTTTTTGTCAACTTCTGTGTACAGGAAATGGAAATAGAAGAAGCTTTATGTGGTCAAAGCTGCTGATGAAGCCATTTTGTATTTCAGAAAATAACAAGGGAGCACATATCGAATGTTTTGTAGAGAAGAAACTTTACAAGGATGCACCCACTAAGCTTAAAATAGAGTGTGAAAAGGCCTTTGAGAGTGATAATGGTGAAGTTGGAGGTAGACTCACCTAGTCACGGGGCGGGAGAGATGGAGGCCACAAGTCTTACTCGTTCTCAAGTCATCTATTCATTGTGCCAGTGAGTCCATGGGTTTATATATTATCATGGTTTGCGTTATTCAATTTTGGCTTTAATGTGGTTATTCAGGGCGAAGAAGGTTGAGAGGAGAAGAAGAGTGTTTGGTGCCTTTTTTGTTGCCAGTTTCCAGAAAATTTTGAGGCTGGTAATGGTTTACCCAAGGTGTGGATGTAAGAGAAGTTTTGTTTAGGGGTAATAAATTTTGAGATGTTTCTGATGTTGGATTATGTGTTGCTTCATTTAGGGGTTGATTCATTTTATGAGTATCTATTTAAGGCCCACATTTGTTTAGGAATATGAGGAGTTCTGGAGAATGCTTCATTCTGCTTACATTGCTGTTCAGAAATATCATTCTGGGGAAATGTCATTATTCAGGGAGGGGATGTCCCCTTGGTTTTGGTATTCCTGTTAGGGGAGTGGGAGGGGGTTTTTAGGAGCGACTTGGGTGATTGGAAATGGAAACCATCAATTTTTGGGCCATACATGCCAATGTTGGCTCTATGAGGAACACGCCAGATGCATAAAATAATAAAAAATAAAAAAACTTACTCCATTTGAGTTCTATGAGAGATGCATTAGCTCTGTGTCTTTAACTTGTACCAGTCTTGTATAAGTTGACAACAAATTGATACATCATCGCATAAGTTTAGAAGCCAAATTTACTGGCATCCAAATAAGCAAGTCACTTGGGCATAACACTTGATAACTTAAACAGACCAAACTTTGAATACAAGTTAATTGGCTTGTGCCATCTCTTGCTGGTGAAGTACGTGAATTTGGGTAACTCAGAGCTCTCCGTCGGATCCATTACCATATCCATTTCCCTGATGCGATGCACTGCAGACAGACACAATAAATAATTCCAGGGTATTATACAAAGGGGAACCCTGCTGGAAAGCATAACCCAAAATAGCTCTGGACTGGAGAAGTAATGCTCTAAGTTCTAATTGATGGATTGATTCGCAGACAAGTCAGGACTCGGGATTAATTATATTTCTAGACACTGGTTGAGTTGCTGTAACGAAAATCTTTCAACTAAAGGGTCCGGACTTCAAAAATAAATTTAAAAACAAAACTGTTATGTATCTGTCAAGTGTGCACTCAGATCATGGTATGATGAATTAACCTTACCTTGTCTAGCTGCAGTGTGCACTCAGATCTTGACATAAGACCTGCTTACATCTCCACCTCTTACAGATCCTTTCTTTATCAATTCTGCCAACTGCAAGAACAATTTCAAAATCAGAATACAAAAGTATTAATGTTCAATGTACAATGCAGACAACCATTGATTAGTTGTTTTATATTGATAGCAAAAAGTATAAGAGTATTAATTAAGTCACCTCATCTTCTGTTTCCTCAAGTAATCTGTCCCAAATAAATACACGAGTTAGGCTTCTGAATCATGGGAGGCTTAAAAATTGAAACTCCTCATTTTTCATATGAGAAGGACAATCAGTTTAAAGTTTAAAAAATTGAAACTCTAGTAAAAAGAAAGTAGGAAAACAAAGTTAGCATCTTACCTTCCACAATAGGTCGATAAATCCTTTGAATATGCTTTAGCTTCTTGTTTACCTAAAAACGTACACATAGACACACAAAACAAAAGGCATATGATTGTTCAGAATCTCATAATTTCATGAAACAGCTCAAAACATGAAATGAGTGGTCTTAGAATGAATAAGAACTCCCTTTATTGATGTATGGTCTAGATAAACAACTCACAAGAATGAGTGTAATTTTTCTTTCAAAATTTTCTGCATTTTCTGTTATTCTAGGAACTCTCCAGGCAAACTGTTACACTAATAATTATGTTCTCTTTGATTATAAAAGAAAAACAGCACATTAGCCCTTTGCTTAGTGGCTAGATGGCTAGACAAGTAAGTCAGACAAATCACTTGTTTAATGCAAAATGTCAAACTCAGTTTAAAGAAAAACACCCCCTATCTTTTGTGTAGAAATACATACTTATTGTGAGGTTATCCCAGTTATCCACTTTGATCCACTCTTTTATGTTTGAATCTATCTGCAAAAGAAAACCGGAAGGAGATAATTTTCAACAAACTAACTACATAATTTGATAGAAAGAAATCAATCTTAAATACATTAACCTTGTGAAGAGTATAATCCTGCATATTTTCGCAAATTCCATCGAGGAGTTCAACAACTCTGAGCTCACTGACTCTATTGGGTACACATTCGAGGAGTTCAACAATCACTGCAGGAACAGTAGAGCTTGACGTCTGCTCCCCACCAGTGATCAGTGCCCAAACATTCATGATCATCGACGAGGTCACCCCTGCAATGGCATTCTGGGCAGACCATGCATTGAAAAGATCAACAACAATGAAGCGATGACCAGAAAGTGCTCAGCTCAAGGGCTGAAGAAAAGCAAGCAAATGCAGTACGTCCCTATAAATCAAATAGATATAAGGGGAGGAAGACAAGCAGGGGAGGAAGCAGATCTCGTTCCTAACAGTAGAGTAGACTAGAAGGGAATGGAATAGCTATTCCCCAATAGCAATTAAAGAATTAGGACCAAGAAGAGGGAATCCACTCGGAGGTCACCCCTGAAGAAGGATGGAAACCCGAAGAGGAGGTCAAACTAGTCCCTTTTGATCTTGATAAGTCAAAAAGAAATGAGCGGATCGGCTCACACATAAGCCTAGAAGATAAGGTGGAGCTTACAGCCTTTCTCCAGAACAACAAAGACGTGTTCGCATGGTTACCATCTGACATGCTAGGCATCGATCCCCAAATTGTCTGCCATCGCCTTCATGTCAATCTAGACAGCATACCAGTAGCGCAGAAAAGACGCAACTTCGCTCCCAAGCGAGTTGCCATCATCGAAGTCGAGATTAACAAGCTCTTAGTTGCCGGTTTCATTGAAGAAGTCTTCTACTTGGAGTGGTTAGCCAATGTTGTTCTAGTGGCAAAGAAAGACCAAGTCAAGTGGAGAGTGTGCGTGGACTACACAAACCTTAACAGGGCATGCCCAAAAGACAACTTTCCCTTACCAAGAATTGATCAACTCATAGATTCAACTTCCAGCAATCAATTGCTAAGCTTCATGAACGCTTCCACCGGCTACAATCAAATCATGATGCATAAGGACGATAAAGCAAAGACTTCTTTCATAATGGAAAAAGGCACATACTGCTACAAAGTCATGCCCTTTGGACTGAAGAACGCCAGAGCAACATACTAGAGGCTTGTGAACAAGATTTTCAAGGAGTAGATTGGCAAGACTATGGAGGTATACATAGATGACATGCTAGTCAAAGCTCCCCGATGAACAAACGTACACAAAATGAACCACACATTTGTTCCAAACAAACATACTGCAAAAACCCAAAATTAACTTTCTCCAGCGACAATTTACTCCATGGTGATCCCATCGCAGTTGTAGCTTAGAACAACACATCTCGCATACTCGCGGAACAGGTCAAACCCTTTGCGTGCTTCTGCTTCCCTCCTTTGCACAGACTCATTTGAAGCACTGAACCTTCGAAAACTTTTTCCTTTCGCAAGCCTAACTCTCACTTTCATTATTTTGACTGATCAAAAGTTAATTTCGCTTTAGTTTTCTCCTTCCCCAATGTTTCTTCATACCATCTTAGTCGTATCTTCTGCCGTTTGATTTCCATGATCATGCAAGTTGTCCAACAACAAGGAGATCAACAACAGGTTATTGTGTTTTTCTAGGAAATTCTCTTGTCTCGTGGAAATCAAAGAAACAGTCAATTGTTGCTCGATCATCTGCAGAAGCAGAGTACAGGGCCATTGCAGTCACATGTCTTGAGATTACATGGTTGCGCTATATATTGCGAGACTTAAGAGTTACACAGAAGGGTCCTGCACTTTTGCATTGCGACAATCAAGTTGTACTACATATAGTTGCAAATCCAGTTTTCCACGAAAGAACGAAGCACATTGAAATTGATTGTCACATTGTGAGAGAGAAAACTGCAGGCTGGTGTAATTTCTCCTTCCTATATTTCTTCACAAGATGAGCTAGCAGATATATTTACGAAGGCCTTGGGAGGAGATGCCTTCAATTACTTAAGTCGCAAGTTGGGACTTCACAACATTCACTCTCCAACTTGAGGGCGAGTGTTGGAAATCAAATCTTGTAATTGAAGGATTGTAAATATTGTAATTGTCTTTCCTATATTAGACCCCAAGGTTTATGGGTCAAGCCCATATTGTAGCCTTAATTAGGAATTATGCTAGAATAGGAGATTGTAAACCTAGTATATAAAGGATAGTATTATGTACAGCTGCATATCAATACATAACGATTATTCCATCTCTTTTATTCTTTACAAAAAGAAGGAGATGGAAAACATGCATAGAGACAAAAACCCAAACGCAAAAAGAAATAGAAAAGTCTGAAATGCATCAAGGAGCATGTCTTTTGCAATCCGAGAAGGAATCTCAGAACTGAACCACACACTTAACTTTTTTAATCTTCTTCTTTGGAGTGACTGATTGATATATAACTGACCATATTAACATAACATGCAAGTGAAGCAAAAATCAAACTAACCCTTCAATTGTGAGGTGGAGTGCAAAACGGAAATATTTGAAGCTGTTTGGAGCTCCAAACCAAACTGTCAAAGCTGAATGATGGTGGGAGAGAAAGCGTTAAAATTGCGTTTTTTTATCCACAGGCTTTTAATGATATTGGCAGATGCTAGCTGTCATTGGGGAAAATTCTACCTGTCATTGGTCTCATAAGTTGTTTGTTTCCATTGATTGTCCCACAAGCTTTAACTCTTTCTAATAACATGCAAAAATATCTATGTTCGTTCTACACTTCTTCTTCATTTGTGTTATGGGGAGATCATATATATATATATGACCAGCAGCGTAGAGCAGGCCCGGCAAAACCTAATTAGAATTATGTTGAACGAGTGTTTTATGATGATTATACCTCCTATTTTCTTCATGATCACAAGAAAAGAGCACTATTTTACTTTTTGATATCGTCCTCATCGATGTCCCTTCTTCATCTACTGAATCTTGTTCTAACGTGGTAGCTAGCTAGTGTTAAGAAGAGAGGTCACGGATACAAATTTAGAACTCCTGCACTGCACCACAGTATTTGTTTGGTTTTTTCAGGTACACATGTTTCTCTCTACACATTTTATCTCAACTATTGGTGGGCACAAAAATAGCCCCAGTTTCTAATTTTCTTCCTTAATTGCACAAATACTAAGCCCCAACTACCACCACCTGCTGCCATTGCCGTCGGGGTCTTGGCGTTAGCCCACCAAAGCTACAGCCGCCTATTAGTGTGAAATATCTCAAATTTCAAGTAAGTTTTAAACTCTAAGCCCTAATTGATAATAATGTATGATGTTTTTAATTTAATTGAAACTAGCCTCTCCGCACGCGCTTTCGCGCCTGTGAGAGGCTTCTTTAAATAAAAAAAAAAAAATTATTTTTAGAATTAAAAAAGATAATGGGTAGTTGTGTTCCATAAAAATAGGATTCATTATCTGATTTAATTTTAATTTTAATTTTTTTAATATGAAAATGTGTGAATTTACCATATTATCCTCATTTAATTAATAATTTTAATTCTTAATATTTGGATTAACAAAGGGCATTTTTTGGTATTTTGAATGTTTCACCATTTTCTGCTTTTTGCTTTATATATATAGATAATGGGTATTTGTGTTCCATAAAAATAGGATCCATTATCTGATTGTCTTTTAATTTTAATTTTTTAAATATAAAAAAGTGTGAATTTACCCTATTATCCTCATTTAATTAATAATTTCAATTCTTAATGTTTACATTAACCAATGGCATTTTCTGGTATTTTGAAT